GTATTTTAACTGAAGAAACAGCTAAATTAAATGATCGGCTAATGTTAAAAATTGAAGATTCTCAAAATCAGTTGAAGCAATTTGTTGTTAATAGCATATCAAAACAACAATCTAATTCAGAAATAGAGCAGAACAAATTCCAAGAACAAATAATCTCTACAGTAAAATCACAGTTAGAAGAACATAAATCTAATTTTGAGCAGAAAATAGAAGAAATCACAGTTAAAACACAACTTGACAATGAGCGTAACTCAAACATAAATTTAATTGCCCTACAAAATGAAGTATTGCCTAAAATCACCCTACAAACTAGATTAATTGAAACACAGCAGCTTGAAATTCAAACTCTCAACCAAAATTTAATCAAATGTGAGTCTGAAGTAAACAACTTAAAGCAAGCTAACCCAATAAATGGACAAGCAGGTGCGATTCAAGTAATCTGTAGTGGTAATGAGAACAATGATCGTCAACTGCCGAAATTTAATGGACGAAGCGGTAACCCAATGGAATATCTGCACAAACTTAAGCGATATTACGAGAGAGGAATCGAAAGGAATATGAATTGCGATCAAACCGAATACCTTAAAGACCTATTGGAAACGTCATTTGAAGGACCCGCATCCCGATGGTTGCAACTAATCAGATCAGACATTCTTGATTGGGACCATTTTGCTAAGGAATTTGAGTGCAAATATTGGAGTCAAGCCGTCCAAAGAGGAATAAAAGCCAAGATTGAGTCTGAAAAATATCGAGCTAATGGAACCTTGAGCCGTACGGAATATTTAACGGAACGTGTACTTTTATTGCAATCCATCTCCCCTAGTTTAAGTGAAGAGGAGATCGTATCATTATTGGCAGAGCGATTCGATTCAATCATCCAGGACAGTGTTAATGTGCAAAATATCACCACAATAAGAGCCATGGAACGACTTCTACAGAAGGATGACATTCAAGACGGACCGAAGAAAGTTAAGAGCTACAACAACAGTCACCAGAACAGCAGACCGTCTAGCCCTAACATACAGAACCCGCAACGTTACCATGATCGATCTACTAACCAACAAGCTTACGTGCCTAAGATGAACCGCCAGAACTTCCATAACAGCGATAACTATGCACAGAACAACCAACATCATTGGAATCAACAAAATTACCGATACAACAGAAAATTACCGATACAACAGAAGCAATGGTAATGAGTCCCAACAGTACCAACGGGTGCACCGAGACTACAAACCATATCAGCGTGACCGCTACCCGGACCGGAACTATGGCCAAGACTACAATTATAATCGGAATCATCCTACTAAGGAACAAAACCAAATATGTGCGATGTTTAGGCAAAATCCCAACTTGCCTAATGCCCCAATTGCTCCACCCATTGATCCACAACTAAACAGCCACCATCCAAGCTCTCATTTTCCGCAATCTCCACAGAGGTCGGAAAACCACTCGTCGTTGTAGATTATGGCCGAGAAAGATTTATGTTGCCAACTGATTCTTCATTGAATACGGTGCCGAAATACTTATGTGATAAAAACAATTTTCTCTTAGAAGATGAATAATAAGATATTTAATAGTTTCTAACTTAATAAAGCCAGTCATCCTTAGATTCTATGTACTATCCGCCCTTAAAATGGATTTGAATTTAATACAAATGAAATCAATATGCAAATCAACAATAATAATGTTACAGTGAAGTTTAATTTGTGTCATCATGAAAGACAAATATGTCAAATAGTAGTTAATAATAATAGCCATAGGCCAAATAATAATATAAATGATAATTTTTATAATATGATGTACGATAAGTACCATAATAATATAATATATATGAGTATGATAGCACAACACACAACTTCAGTGATCAACAAAGTAATCCACTAAAGGACAGCACATTGACATTTGAGGAGATTAATACATATCACCAAACACATCAAACTATTAAATAAAATGTAAAAACGTTTTCTCTGAAGAATGAAGATATCTTAGACAGCACATTGACATTTGAGGAGATTAATACATATCACCAAACACATCAAACAATTAAATAAAATGTAAAAACGTTTTCTCTGAAGAATGAAGATATCTTATTCAGACCTTATCACATATCTGCTTCAAAATGATCGTAGAAGAGGAGATAGAAAATGATGAAGAAGATCTCGGCAACATAAACTCTCAAAACATTGTGTAAATAAAATCCTATAATCACTTCATTATCATCAAGTGTAATAATTGTATATTAGAGAAGATCGTCATGAACCTTAATCGCGAGTGTGTGTACCCTTTTCCCCATTTCCCAAGTGAAAACTGTGAAAACATATCCTTAACATTGCTTCTATTGCTATTCCCCTGTGTCAGGTCATGAACTATCTTAACCCTCACTAATTTCCCCATTTATGTTTGTTCCTGTGTTTATGTACATTTAGATTAAGAAGTTTCTAATCATCATCATCCAATATTATCAATCATTTAATGTGACCCATAACTAGCTTTAAATACAGGGTTATTATAAATGATGGACCCATTTTTAATGCTTTATAACTTTTAAACTATTAAACTTACCGCTATAAAATACACATCAAACGAAAAAGCAACTCAAAGAGTTTGCCTTCCAAAGACACATCATTTAACAAAATCGATCCAACAGAACTGTAGATTTAATTGTACAAAGTTAAAAAGTAATCTCCAACTTTTTTTACCACTAGAAATTTGGAGGTTACTTGACGTTTTTGCAAATAACTTTTAAATGGTGAGGAAATCGACCAAAGTGGAAGGTAATATTCCGAAAGAGAATAACATTTCCTACAATCTACTATTACGCATATCTTGAAAATACTCAATAAATGTAGCCTAAATTTGGCTTAAGATAAAAAAGTGTGAAATTTAATGTTTGCTATGTTTGTACATTGAAGACGGGGATTTTAAATTTTTTTTTCATTTTGAGGCAATTTTTGGTACCTTTCTTGAGTATTTTCAAAAAATGCATAATAGTAGATTGTGGGAAATTTTATTCTCTTTCGGAATATTACCTTCCACTTTGGTCGATTTCCTCACCATTTAAAAGTTATTTGCAAAAACGTCAAGTAACCTCCAAATTTCTAGTGGTAAAAAAAGTTGGAGATTACTTTTTAACTTTGTACAATTAAATCTACAGTTCTGTTGGATCGATTTTGTTAAATGATGTGTCTTTGGAAGGCGTAAACTTTTTGAGTTGCTTTTTCGTTTGATGTGTATTTTATAGCGGTAAGTTTAATAGTTAAAAAGTTATAAAGCATTAAAAATGGGTCCATCATTTATAATTACCCTGTATAATTCATACTAAATGATTCATGAATTCCATTTCATATTCGTTCGAAATTTGTCTTTCATTCCATATCATACAAATTTCTGAGGAGATAAATTGTAATATTTCATTTCATTTCATTCATTATTTAATATTAAGTTTTTTTAAAAATGTTAACTTCTATTCATACACCTAATAATCACTCCTCAGAAAGAGTGTCCTAATATTCATTTTCCTAATTTATATAATTTCATTATGTTCAATTAATCATTAATAATATTCATCCATAGCCTATATATATATTTTTACAACGCCCACAACCTAATAATTTATTTAATATGTAAGAGAATTGCAATACATCAAAATTTCTTATAATATCATTTCAAAATTAGTCCTTAAGGAATCAAAATTTAAGAAGCAGTGAAAGTGATCCCATGTGTTCAACAATCAGTGATGTGAACATTGAAATTGAGAGAGAAGGAAGCCATTGAGAAGTTGAAATTGTTAGAAGAAGGACTCAAAATTTTACCTAAATCAAATTCATTCATCAAGAAGACCAGTTTCAAGTTATATCACAGTTTTTTTAGCCTAAACCTCAAGAGGACTCAACTCAATCTTCATCTTCAAAATTAAGTATAAACTTTTCTTTAAACTCTTTTAAATTTTGTACTAATTGGACTTACCTTTTGGACAACACCAAAATTAGATTTTCCATTGTTAAGATTGTGTAAATTTAACACTTTAATTAGGCCTATTTGGACGCTATTAAATTTATTAATTATCAGCATTCAAGCCAGCACGACACCCTACCCTGAGAGATGTCACATCTAAATTATTTAAACCTTTAAGTTATTATTCAAATTTATTTTTTATTTCAATTTAATTTCAACCCCATACACCATTGTCAATCCTTTCATTGTAAAGTCAAGCCTTTTCTCATTGCATGTTAATTGTTCATTTGTTTAAATAAAACACATTTTGTAATCCATATCTTTGTTAACTTATTAACTTTAAACATTTGTAGAATAGGCCTAGCCTAAAATGAATATTTTAAGGTGAGTTTACATGCTTACCCATGCCGAAAGGGGGGAAAAGTGATCAGTCCTCTCTTTCCTCCCGGAGCATGTCCGCAGACTGAGACGAACAACCAAACAACCTAACAACCTAATTGGCTTCTGCACTGACGTCGTCTGCGATCTTAGACTTCAGAGAGTTTATGTAAGGTTATGTTTTGCCGGTTAGTGCCGCAACTAGGGCTCCGCTCAACAGCCAACGTCTAGCTGTTTAACTTTTAAAGGCTGTTCTGTGGTAATTGTATGTTTTTATCAACTAATAAAGTGATTCGTTCCCTATACTAACACCAGGTACTGGAGGTCTTCTTTAGTAGTTCAACCTGGTTACAATACATTCTGAAACCTCCCCCATTTAGGCCTGTTACACTTAGGCTACTTATCAATCTCTATACTCATTTCTCAATCTCTACTCTATACTAATTTCTCAATATATATCCTCTCCCGTTCTGGTTATCTCCGGGTCTGGGTGTTCACTAGGCCTCTCCATCTTCTTCTGTCCCTCCACAATTTCTCTTTCAGTACTCATTTCTTACACCGACATATAGTACAAGGGATCATGTTTGGTTTCAGAGAATTAAGTGTTATATAAATTTTTGACATGCTATATGGAATTGTATCAAGCTCTTATTTGTTTGTTGCAGGACTAGAGAAGAGCATTATCTCCGGGGATGATAGGTGTCAACAGCCCCCAAATATGTGCAATCCCAAACAAAGGACTTGTTTATAAACAGCACAATAATGTTATTCGCACATGTTCTGGACCTTAAACCTCGTCTTGTTATAAACTATCTCAAAAATCAATACAATTTACATTGGCATGTATGCCAGTTTTAAAAATTACGTCAACATTCTCTATACCCCAGAAAATACCAAGTGAAAACTAGAGATGGTTATTATAGTGTAATTTAAAAAAATATTCATAGTAGCCAGTTTTTAAGAAAGATGTATCTCTATGAAATCCAAAATAGCATTGAGGGATAATCCCTTGTGTTATTTTTAAAAGGCAAGAATAACAAACTCAAAATACATACCAACTGTTATTGTGTCCAGATGACGTATGGGGTATCAGGGATTCAGTGGTAATGATGTTTCTGTTACAGAAGTGATCAACTGCATCAACTATATTGTAATATTATATATGATATTTGTAAATTTTTAGCTATATATATATATAAATATATTTTATAAAAATAATACAATATTATTTTCTTATCTTGTTGTGTTTAGAGGTAAAGCTGTTCTTGCTTTGCCTTAAACGCAAGTGTGCTACTATGTATAAGTATGTTAACATTAATATTTAGTTGAACGACTGCAGAGGTTATTTTCTCTGTAAGTAAAAAGCATTTTATTCCATCCACCAATTAACTCATCATTAATTTGTTTTTCCGTTAAATATTTTAAACATTAAATTTAAAGCTATTTAACTAACTAATCGAAAGACTTGTTTCTGGTAGATGCTGTGTAAAGTATAATACTAACAAAACTTTTAAACACACTATCACACATACTGTAATACATTTAGTTCTAATTGATAAAACAAGTGCTCTATTTGTACTGAAACTGATTTTCCTTTACTTTGTATAAAATTAAACGCTGTATGGTTTATCATAAAAAGTATCATGTCAGTTTTATCATCTCTATCTTAATAAATACTTCCACCTTAATCACACAACTCAATGTAAATCTGAAAATGTAGTCCCTATTCTAATTTTAAAAAATATGAATATAAAATCATTGATAACCTTCCGAATACTGGCTATATACTTTATATTTCAGTCTAAATACAGACATTTTTGCCATGGTAAATAAATAGTAAAAAAAATAATATATATAAAATATACAGTCAATTAAAAATGTATTGTTACTTCCTGCACACATTAAAAGATTTAAATTAAGGTAATGACCTGTATTTTCTAATTGTATTTCTGACTTGATAAGCAGACAAATGTTAGCCAATAATAGTATTAAATATTTCAGTAAAAATCGCCTCATTCATATTTAAATTGCATTTCTCCAAAGTATGCTTTAATTTAACTTGCTCATAAGTATTATTTATTTATTGTTCTACCCTAAGTTAATTGTTACTGAGGGAAGTATGTTGTGTAAAATAAGCTACTTTTATAAACAATGGAATATCTTAATAAAGTTAATTGTTTTGCCAATAATTTAGTGGTTTGATTATTAGCAGTCTAAGTACAAGTAGCACAGTAGATGAAGGTTATTTTCACAGCTATTTGGTAGAAAGCTGTATTCTTATATGTGATAGAACCACATAAGTTGTGTATTTACCCAACGTCTCCGATTTCCCCTTTGAACTCCCCCCCCACCCACAACCAAACCTGTGACAGTGTTTTTTACCTTCTCCCCCTATTAGTATATGGAGAAAGTTTTGTTTTCGTCACAATTTTCAAGTTTGAGTGGACATATCCATTTTGGTGGTTTTCAGAGTGATGTGTGTGTATGTGTGGATGTGTACAGAGCTACAGACCACACCTTTGGCCTGATTTTGATGAAATTTGGTATGTAAGTACTAGTCCATGGTATCTCGAGGCGTTTTTAAATCTTTTTGAAATTTTTATTTAATGGCGATTTTTCCCATAAAAACCCATAAAATAACAGAAATACCCCCGCCGCAGCAAACCTGCAGACTAAGCGAATTTCCATTTGCCTGATTGGATTTACACTAAAATGTCTTCTTAAAAATATCACATTTAAATTCCCTATTTAAATAACATTAGTTTAACGAGTAGGCTACTAAGGTTTGCTGCAACAGGGAGGGTAAGGAAGGTGTTTTTTTTTTGTAAAATGTTAATAGTTTAGTATGAAATGAATGCATTTCCCAAATTTGATCAAAATATGATCATAAACAAGCAAACTACAACAGTTTACTTATTCTCCATAAGAATAACATGGGAATTTTAAATTTACAGTTTTTTGGAATTTTCTCTGTAACCATTAGGTGTATAATAACGCTTCAATATACTAAATTATTTTTTTTTTAAGCTCTACAAAATGGTTTGGAAAGAAAATGATAAATTTTAAGTTTTTAGGAGCAAAAATGGGAAAAACTTATTTTTGCCCCATAAAACCCCTTATTAACCCCTGTTCCCATAGTCCGATCATGCTGGTTCGCTAACTCGTTCGAATAAACATAGGTTTACTCGTTTGTACCAAATTTCATCAAAATCGGATGATTTTTGCTCGAGTTATCGCGTTAATGGACACATATATAAATATATATGAATTTGAACGGATGGTGTTTTTGGTCTCTAGGGACCTCAAAACAAAAAATTAATCGGTCCCGGGTCCAGGTCTTACCATGAGTACTACGGTAATAGCTTATTCCCTATAGGGGAAATTCGGTAAAATCAGATTTTCTTGAAAATGTCCTGAACGATTTTGATAGAAATTTAGTATATTAGCCCATTAAATTCTGAACAAAATGGCATAACACCCATTTCTGTAAGAATTACGGTTCCAAAGCTATTTTAACTTGTCTTATTTTCCCATAAAATAACGGATAATCAGATTTTACAGAAAAAAGCTGGTTTTGATTCAAATTAATATGTTATGGTCCATATATTTCTAAACAAAATAGTGCCACCCCCCATTGCTGTAAACATTACGGTTCAAAGGAAACCAACAACTTTTGTGATTGCCCCTCCCCTCCCCATGATAAAAGTTGTTTTTAAGCTAATGGGGAAAGTATGTGTCAGGTTGCTCATACCATTTATTAAGACATTCTATTCCCATTTTATAGTCGTCACCAGTTTTAAAATCAAAATCATGGTAGTTGATGTAAGCCACCGATTGTGCTGATCTAAATTACTTTTCTGACAAATAAACAAACTTTTTTACCAAGTCAAACTGGTGGAACGACAAATTGTGAGCTATAGCAACTCTATTATTAATCAACTGTTAGCAACTATAACTGACTGAGATGGTGGCGTCGTCCTGTTATCCAGCTACTAGGAGGTCACGAATTGTGGATATTCATAGGCATGCACTGTGGATGAGATGCTCCCTGGTGTGGATTAACGTCCGCACTAGTGAGTACTACAACTATCCTGATACTTAAACTAATTTGTTAAAACAAGGAAAAAATGTGGTCCGGATTGCACTAAAAACTTTATGTCACTAAGGGCCGCTTTCCCCAAATCAAGTTTAACTCTGATCGCGGTTTAAACTCTAGTTTAACCTCAGATTCACTTTCCCTAAATAATTTCTCCGTTTAAACTAGGTTTAAGTTAACCCTAGGGGTGAGGCTGGTTTAACTGGCGATCCGTGGGTTAACCCAGGAGAAAAGAATAATAGCTTGATTTTGATTGGCTCTTGCCTGACTTGTTACGTTCGGCAGTAGTGATGTGACGAGTCGGGTACTTTCCTGACTCGAGTGACTCGACTCGCCAACTGCCGTGAACTCGAGTTACGAGTCGAGTCAGACTCAACTCGAGACGTTCCGAGTTCGTGTGAGTTCGGCATTCTCCGTACGAGTTCGTTAGTTTTGCGAGTCGGCCGACTCGGTACCGGCCAATAGCGTTGAATCTATGCGAGTTGACTCGTAAAGCTGTGACGCTATTGGCCGAAAGCGAGTGCGAGTAAACTCGAGTCAACTCGTTACGTCCCGAGTTCGTTAAGGTTCGGCTTTCTCCGTATGAGTTCGGTTTCTTGACTCGGCTTTTGCGAGTCGGACTCGTAACGTTACGAGTTCGTGTAGCTTCGGCAATCTCCGTACGAGTTCGTAAAAGAACTCGAGTTGGAATTGAGTTGACTCGACTCGGGTCTTGACTCGACTCGGGTCTTGACTCGAGTCAACTCGACTCGCCAACTCAACTCGTCACATCACTATTCGGCAGACGGCAATGGCAAATATCCTTGTTTGACATTTGTTAAACATAACCTAAAAAAATTAAACTGGAAATAAATTAAGAAATAACAAACCAGAACCTATGTAGACAATTAATTCATGACTATTTTAAATTTAAAGATATAAGGCTACAGATATACAGTAATGGTTTTAAGGTTTTTAAATGTGTAGAGTAGGCCTAAATTATTATATTTTCGGTAGGTAGTATCGTAGTTGTGTACAATCGATAGGTTACCTTGTCCACAGCAACGAAAAATTGGGTGGAAAGTTTGCTCATAAGTTTTAGCCTTTTGGTTTGAAATTAAATTTAGTTTAGAAACATCGAACGTGTCTAATGCTGAGTAGCCTAGGCCTGCCATTACAAAGGATAGGCTCTTGTTTTTAATCCACAAACATTAATTTCGCGTCTTTCCCAACATTTTATTTTCCCATGAGTGTAAATGCTTTTATTTGATGCGTACACTAGGCCTACTGTTTAATTAAGTTTGAGCTTAAATAAACACAATAAATGAAATGCTTATAAATTAGCATCAGTACAATTTATTAGCCTGCAAATAAAAATGTTTCTTTTTAATGTCAACAATTGGAGATAATGGCACGAAACCTAATACAAATAACCAAAACACGAGAAAATTAATGACAGATATGTCATAGTGGGAAGTTAAACAGCTAATATTGCAGACAAAATTGCATAACAGTGTTGCCAACATTGTTGCTTGCAAAGAAAAGCTAGGTTAAACTAAACTTTCATGACAAAATAGTGGGGAAAGCCATCCTAAGTTTAACCCACAGATTAAAGTTAACCGAGATTAAGTTAAACTTGATTTGGGGAAAGCGGCCCTTAGTTTGCCATTGGCTGTTTGGGCTATTAATTAACAGCTGTGTCTAAGGAACATGTCAGCCTTAGTGACTAACAACACTACAAGATCGCGCCACTCATCCTTTTCTCATATTTGGGTTAAAATATGCACATAGTGGCGTCCCTATCTCAACTAGTTCATAATTGATAATAGTTATGACCCAACAACGTGTAGTATTTAAAAGAATAATTTTAAGTGGGCTTATGACATGTTTAAGAATTGTGTAGGCCTACACCAGAAGAAATATGCAGCAGAAACTGCAAAACATGTTACATTAAACCTGTTTCCTGAAAAATCATGGAACTGTTTTCTTCTTGGTGCGTAAGAAAGAAAGTTACAAAATAATTGTTTGTTCTGTTTATACAGATTATTACTGTTTATACAGATTATTACTGTTTATAAGTGTACCTACTCTTGAAAATAAGTAACACCTAGTAAGATACTACGACTACAATCAGCCGGTGCAGTGTATTTATAGTTCTTTGATGTGAGTCGGTGGGTCAGTTGGTAGCGTCGCGGAATTTGGGCCCAAGGCAGCGATGTCGTGGGTTCGGATCCTGGTCACTGCCACTAAAATTTATCAGATCAGTTCACCTTTATACTGTACCGGCTCACTCCTTGCTTTGCTGAAAACGATCCACGCACGGGTGCTTAGTCTACAAAAATAGTGACTGTAGGGAAAATATAATGTGTAACACGAGCGCAAATGTCCTTTGCTGCACTCGAGAAACATTCCGCATGAGCCGCAGGCGAGTATTGTACCTCGTGTGTAAACATTTATTTTGTGTACAGCAAAGTGCCTCTTTGCTCACTAATTACACAAATAACTATTTAATAACATTCTATGTTTCTCAAGGTTTACAAACATATTCAATACCACCGCTTCAATAATTCTCATTACACTATTCTTGTTCAGGCTCATCTATTTATTTGTTTGATGCTCCATTCCCCCCCCCCCATAAAAAATCCATGTGGGTTGAGGAAAAGTTGCTAAAAGTCTTTTTTACTGTATGAATTGTTTGGGACACCAGTATGTAACAAGATAAAAAATATGTCTAATGTAAAAATTAGAAACTCTTTACTTGGAAAACAATTTTAAACAAATCTACAAAACAAAGTTCTAACACTCCATGAACTTCGAAATGACTTATTCTAAATATTGTAATTTGAATACAGTAGGCTATGTTCTAGTTTATTCTTATATTGCTAATACTACTTTTATATTAGGTCTTAGTTTAATTTGTTAAGACATTTTAAATCCTACTAACAATAAATAAAATAAACCAATCTAAACCACTAAAAAAACTTTTCTTAATAACAATTTGTTCTATGAAAATAAATTAATTTATGAAGTACAAAAGTGAATTAAAAAAAACTACAACAGTGGCATTTAAATCCAACTGTGATGATTACCTCTCTTAAATAAAGTTATAAACTGCCCACTAATCTTATTTACACTATGTTAGATTGTCTCAAAATGTTACATAACACTTTGAGGGAAAACGCTTGAGAGACAATTTTATTGATGCTAATTCCCAGTATTTTTACCCAAATTTTAACAAAATTTTACCCAAAGTTTTTTAAATCTCAAAACCCCAATCATCTGCTTCTTTAGTTGCCATTTTCTTGGGCGGTGGAGGGGCATTTTTCTTCTGAAAAAACAAGAACAAAAAAACAAGTAAATTCCAAAAAATGTTTGAATCATGTTAATACACCTTTTCTGTAGTTTATGTGCAGTACCTACTTAAAACCAGTAAAGATAAGACTTAACTTGCCATATACAGTACAAGATTAACACAGAAAAATCAAATGTTATATCATTTTCCACTGGACAACGTAGACAAAATGTTTAACCAAACATTTGTGTAAAATCAGAAAGAATAAGCCAAGTAGAGCAAATAAAATTTCTTTGACTAATTATCGATAAACATCTATTTTGGGGAGGGTCATGTAAGTTATGTGGTTAAAAAGGTATCCTCTGTAAAGATATGTGGTAACCATGCTCTGCGACAGATATCCAGAATATGCAGTTTAGACACAATAAGAGTTGTTTATTTCTCATTAATACATTCACATATTTTATATGGAATTGTTCTATATGGAGCAACAACGAAAACTAATTTAGATAAAGTAGGCCTACTCATAAAGCAGAAAAAAGCTATCAGGGTGATGAAAAATCTTAAAAAGAAAGAGCCAGTCAAGAGCATCTTTCGTGAATCACAAATATAAACAGTTTATAGTCTTAACATTTATGAAACAATAATTTATGCAAAACATACGCAACTATCATCCACCTCAACAGAACAATTAGTATATAACACTAGTTTACAAATTAACCTACCTCGGCATAATCTAGAATTTTACACTAAAAAGACAACTTACAAAGGCAAACATTTCTCCAGTTTATACCAGCTCATATCCAAAAAGAAACACAATTAAAAAATTCAAGCAGCTCTTAAAAGACTTTTTTAAAAGACTCCCTGCTCTTCAGTAAAAAACTTCTACAGTATTAGTAAAAAACAGTTGACTTAATTTGAATTCCAAATACTGTAATCATTCAATCATGGTTTTGTTAAAAGTAAAAATAAAGTAATCTTAGTACTCTTTTTATGTATTTAATTAGCTATAACGACACTATAACGAATAAAGAAAAAGCATGTTCTGACTATGACTTGAGTTTTTAACTCGTTTACTGTGGCATGTCTCCGATCGGAGACATCCGCATCCCTGTCCAGGTGCACATGCATCCGATCTTAGCCTCTCCTATTGGACAAAACTAAATTTAAACATTTTCGCGCACTCATCCTTGCAGAGCATTAGCTGTCTGCGCTCCCGGCAGCGGACGGCCATCACGCAGCCACAGCGAACGTGCTGAAAACATGATTATTAACAAAATGTACAACTGTATTTAAGCTGTCAGTGCTACTGGATTCCTCCAGCTAATTTCAACAAATTGAAAACCCACCGTTTTTGACAATTTAGGGGTTTTAATCGATGTATGCTTCTTACCTTAGGTTCTTTTGCAGCTTTTGCATGTTTGGGTCCTGCCTGGGGAAGTGGACGCTTAGATAAGCGTATCTTCAAATTTACATCATCAGGCTGAAAAATTTTTCAAAATTATAGAAGTCATTCTATTTAACTTTTTATTTTTAGCAATTTCAAACATTTCATTGACACCTTAAAACTAAAACAGCACAGTAAAAATATTCTTCATTTGATACAAGTGTCATAGTCCACACAGTAAGTTCTTTCTAACCATTGTACGTTTAGGGGCCATTATACGGGTATAGAAAAATAACTTTACAACATCATTCAATATATTTACAGTGCACCTATCAACTGTTTAAAGACTGTACCTCAATATTTAAGTAAAAGATGTTCAGGCTGATAATGACCAATGTAACTGGTCAAAAAAATTTGCCACACTACTCTGTTTTAACAAACTTCACACAAGGATTTAGTCCGGAAAACAGCTGTTTGCCACCATTTTAATCAAATGGGGTTTCGTAACATACATCTGTACTGAAATGGGGTTTCATTACATACTACTGTGCTGTAATGAGTTTTTACCTGACACCAGCTGATTATATTTGTCAAGGAGTGGTTATAAACAAAAACACAACCTCTCTTAGAGATTGTTTTATTGTTAGGTTAGCTTAAAAAGTAGTATGGCAAAAATATCATACCATACTTGTCCAAAATGTTTTTACTGGACTAGTATCGTAATAGTATATTACGTTACTAGTCCTGAAAATAAGTGTTTGCCAGACGAGTGTGGTCGTTCCCGTGCGAGACGAAGTCAAGTACGGGATTACCATACGAGTCCGGTAAACACATTTTGGACGAGTGACGTACGATAGTTTACGCCATACTACTAAAATTGTACAAATCCTTATATATTACCTCCAACTAAAGGACAAAAAATCCCTAGTCATAACCTCTAAGAGAGGTTATGTTTTTGGGTACTTAAGTATTATACGGAGGCCACCCTTATACAGCACGCTGTGGTGGTTATGTTAGGTTGGGTTATCTTATATATGTTTGTATTTTTGTATTACTATTTTTGTATATATTTGTATTACCAGATGAGTCATGCTTTATATTTAAGATAACCCAGCCTAACATAACCACCGCAGTGCGCTGTATAAGGGTGGCCTCCGTATAATACTTAAGTACCTGTTTTTGTTTATAACTACTCATTGCCACCCAAATACAGTATAATTAGCTGATTGGTATCTGGTAAAACTCATTGCAGTACAGTAGTACGCAATGAAACCCCATTTGAATAAGCTGGCGGCAAACAGCTGTTTTCTGGACTAAATCCTTGCGTGGGAAGTTTGTCAAAATAATGTAGTGTGGCGTAAAAGACTTTTATACATATTCCTTTTATACATATTCGTTATAAGTTAACATTATTGGTGTTAATTAGGGATGTGTCGATTCTCGATACCACCCACACCCCATTACCTCGAAATACTTGTATTGGAAGGACATAGAGACAGGGGTTGGTTTAGTATAACCATTCAGAAAATTTTGTAAAACAAAAAAAAATGGTATCGTCTATTGTATTGGTATGGAGGATAGATTTTTCAAGAATCAATAAGTTTTTGTATCGACACATCACTAGTGTTAATGCATTATATACTGTGTTGGAAGACGTATTAACATGTATGAAGTGTTGAAATATAACATTACTGTCAATAAAAATAGGTACCGTACCGGAAACACAGTACTCAAATATGAAATTTTTTTAAAATTATTTAGTTTTGTAGAACAGACTTTTTTGAACACGTAGATAATAAATATTAAGGAAGAAAAAAATTATTTTTAAAATTTGCAGCTACTTTTATTAACTCTTGCAGCCTAATTTAGCATGCCCAAGGTCCTACTACTAATCATGACGCAGAGGGTGCGCCTTCATATTAGAATTTTTATGTTAACATTTTTTATTATTTAGTTTTGTAGAACACATTTTTCTGAACACGTACATACAAAATATTATGGAAGAAAAAATTATTTTAAGTTATACAGTGACTTTTATACACTCTTACTTTTGCATGCCCAAGGGTCCTACTGCTACCCGTGACGGGGTTACTTTTGTCGTTTTCCGAAAGTCAAGTGGTTTTTAGTCAGGACCACTTTTCTTTCTCAATTATAATCCAATTTCAATAAAAATTGGTGTGTGTGTTCCTCATAAGATAAGGAACAATAATACAAATCAGTTTTTATGACAACCAAAAGCCTTTGAAATAAAAAATACTTTATGTTAAAAAATTACAAAATATTTTATAAAATTTTTTAAATCATACTAACAATTTAATTTTTTACTTCATATTATTGTTGGTAATAATGTATTAAACTTGGTAAACAAATTTCAAGTTGATAGATTGATAGGCGTGTAAAAGTTATGTGTACCTAAAAACTGCCTTTTTAACATGGGCGGGATAGGGAGTACTGTGTCACCTTAATGGATTGTAATGTAATTAAAATAGTAGACTTTAGAATAAGGGTACAGAAGATTTCTCGACAAATATTTGACATTTTTGTGCTGAAGAAGTAAAGATATGGCAAAAAGATGAAGAAGTAAAAATCCTTACATCAAATGTTTTGCCACTAGAATCACTGCCTGGAGAGGCCACTCGTACAGGTTTCTTTTGAGTTCTTGGTGTAGCAAAGCTCGGTGCCTGAAAATTTAATTACACACACTTTTATCAACCGTTACAGCTGTGTTTAAACTATTTTTGGGACTATATTTTTCAATGTATGAAGTAAAACACCCCCTATGCAGGTTACAGGCTGATTTCTTTTAGGAAATTATAGAAACCACTCTATGAAATTAAATGAAATAGACTTAAAATACTTCTAGAGCGGAAACATAGAAATAGTATATCAACATAAGTTGCTAAAGAAATATTTGTTAAAATAACTTGTACGATTAATTAAGTTTCTTTTATTTTGTCAACAGTCACACACAAAATTGCTGAAACAACAAGGCCTAATATACGCTATTCTACCTAGGCATCACCATCTGATTGAGAAAATATTTGTTCAGCATTACCATCAATCATAATATTTTTTCTAAATGGTATAAGTTGAGTGTCCCAGATATGCAGCATCCTGTTACTGCAAAAGATTAAACAATTTTTCTCGTAATGAGGAAAGTGTAGGGTGGATAAACCAGCGTAATTAAGTTGCATATCTTTCATGAAAATATTTAAAATTCTTTGCAAAATAATTTTGGACCCCAAGATTGATGATCAATACAGTAATGGAAAGTACTTAAGAGTTTTTCAATATCACAATTAATTCAACAAGGATTTGGCCACACAATTAAAATCTGATAAAGGTTACCTGCCTCTGTGAGACCTTTGTGTTTTAATTATGGTTTCTAGCTTAAGTTTTTTCTTCTATAATTCAAAATTTACATTCAACTTAAAAACCATTACTAATCTCAAATTTTGGAAGTTCTCTTGATTGTCAGAACCAATCAAATATGATCAAGTGTCATCAAAGTAGGTCAAAACTGATGAATCGCTATTCTTTACTGACGTTTCGGCCTCAATGTAGAGGGCCATCCTAAGGGCGACTTGACTTCTGCACAGATGGCAATACAAGTTATTGTGCGGTCTATTTTGATTTGGCCTCTATTTCAATTTGCCGCCTTGAGGAAGTATTCTACATCGAGGCTGAAACATCAGTGAAGAATAGCGATTCGTCGATTCTGACACCAGAAGACCACGATTCTACATCTAATCTAAATAAGTGTACAATTAAAAGCCTTACCTGGCTTGCAGTATCTATTACAGACTGACTCGATGTTACAGCTACTTGAGCTACTTTGCTAAATTTCATCATCAGTCTTTGTATAAGGTTGTCACATTTTTTCTGAAATAAAATAATACCCAAGACTTTGTCAACTTGTAATTTGTTTAATGATGCATTGTATTGCCTTAAAAGTCACACAATTAAATAAATGCTTAGCTATTTTAGAATTCTTTTATTATTTAAATAATATTAACCTTAAATCTGCCAAATTTTTCTAAACCTAAACTCAATCGTGCAGTTTTGTAAATTGACTACAGAGTTACGGCAAGGGGCTTTTAAAGCAACTATCGGGTTATGGCAAGGAGGCAGTAACAAAAGTTATGCAAATTACAAGACTTAATTAAGCCCAGTTGGGACATTCTGGACCAAGTTGTCATTTGTTGTTGAAGGTTGAACCAACATTAATTTATAGTTCAGCTTTCTTAAGTTACCCAAACTAAACAAGTCGCAGCAAGGTCAAATAAACAAATACCCCCACCACAGCAAACCTACAGATTCAGTGAATTTCCATTTGCCTGAATATATTTTTCTGGGAACCTACCAGTTCACTAAAAGTAAAGTCAAGGACTTTTGGTGACCTAATTTTTAAAAATCGGTTAACTCAGAATGCCTAATGTACGCAGTTTGATTTTACAACAAATATAAAATATAGATTACTGATTTTATTCATTATTATTATTTATTAAACGAATCTTTAAATACAGGGTGTCTCAGACTACCCTGGCTTCTATAGCTCCAATATGAAAGCAAATGGAAACCTAATTGCAACTGGAACCCCCTATTTTGACCCCATGGAATTCAACTAAATTATTTTCAAACCCAAAAAAGCACCTCAAAGGGCAGATTTTAGAGTGTGGGGGTGGTTTTTGGGAAATGTTCAAATGTAAAGGGGGGTCGTTTTATGCCTCTTTTTAAAATCCTTGAGTTCTGAGTATTTTAGTGGAAAAAGTTTTAAATTATTTTCATCCCTATTTACAGGGTGTTCAAAAACGTACGAAAAATAGACCTTTGAACTACTTTTCACTGCAAAGAGGTGGAATTTCCCTGTTAATTAAAATTTCAATAGTTCTGTATGAATAAATACATTTTATAAATTTGAACAAAATATGTTCATCTTATGAAATGAAATGAAATGAAATCAACTTTATTCATACTTTGCAAACATGTGCACGAATGGCGTCATTACATTGGATCAAAATCATAATGCTTAATCCTAAAAAAGTACAAAAGATATAATCACTATTGAAAAAGTTCTTATTCTAATATATTATGTAAGAGGAAAAATTCGTTCTTTGAATACAGGGGATTGGTTAAAAAGTACATTTTTAGATTATTTTTAAATTTTGTAGTCCTTGTGTAGTCCTTTAGTTTTGTTGGAAGAGCATTGTAACATTTTATACCCATATACATTGGTTTTTTTTTCAAAAAATCTTAATCTATGTGAAGGTGTTGCATAGTTATTTCTGTTTCTGGTACAATATTGATGAGAATCCCCTACCAGTGAGACATTATTTGAATTTTTGACAGTATATAGTATACATTGATAGATATAATAGCTATATACAGTCATTATGCCTAGTTCTTCAAATTTTTCCCTAACATAATCTTGCCAATCCAAATTTAACATAATGCGTATTGCTCTTTTCTGGAGAATTAAAATTCTGTCTAAATTAGCTTGTGATGTTCCTCCATAAATACTTATACCAAAGGATAAATGTGAGTGAATATGAGCAAAATAAACCAATTTTAGGGATTCAAGTTTACAAAATTTTGATAATCGATAAAGTGCAAATAGGCCTGTTGACATTCGATTTGCCACATGATCAATATGATCATTCCAGCTTAATTTACTGTCTATGTATAATCCTAGAAATTTAGTGTTCTCAACAATTTGTATATCTTCACCGGCTAATTTTAGTGCTGGGTAATCTGAATTGGTATTAGTTTTTGGATTAAAGCGTGTAAAATTAGTTTTGGAAAGATTTAGTAATAGCTGATGATCTGAAAAAAAGTTATTGATGTTCATCAAGTTATCGATGGCAGATTTTTCTATCTCATGAACCGATTTTCCGCTTACAAGAAGATTAGAATCATTGGCATATAAACAGATGGTATTCATTGTTGAATTTGAAATAACATTGGGTAATCCATTGATATATGTAAGAAATAGTAGAGGACCCAAAATAGAACCCTGTGGTACACCATGTTTAATTGTTCTCAACTGCGATCTTGTTTTAACCATCTGGTTATGATTGTTTAAGTGTGTAATTTCTACAAACTGTTTCCTATTAGTTAAATATGATTGAAACCATTTTAGTGAAATTCCTACAACCCCTAGTCCTTCCAACTGTGCAAATTACACAGAAGTAACTTGTCTTATCTTACTAATATTATAAATGTGAAAGTTTGTGTGTTTGTTTGTTTATTTGTTTGTTTGTTTGTTTGAAGTTCAATCACGCATTAACTCCTGGATGGATTTGGCTGAAATTTGGCATGATTATAGCTCACATTCCCGATTAACATATAGGCATATTCTTATCTCAAAATTCCTTTTGGGCTCCGCCCCAGTGGCTTTGTGGTTCCCCATGTTAACCTTATGAGTATTCATATTTAAAGGGAATAAAAGAATTTAGTCAGCTGTTTCAACTTAAAAAGTTGGTTCTATGGCATGCAAAAGCATTAAAAGTTATAAGATTTACCAACAGGGTACAGCACTATTACTTTTTTTGCATCAATGGAAACAGCTAATTTGAACTAGGCAACAACAAAAATACCCCCGCCGCAGCAAACCTGCAGACTAAGCGAATTTCCATTAACCTGATTGGATTTACACTAAAATGCCTTCATAAAAATAGCACATTTCTTTCCTATTTAAATAGAATTAGTTTAACGAGTACTTAGGTTTGCTGCAACAGGGAGGGTAAAAAAGATTTTTTTTATAAATAGTTTAGTAAGAAATAAAAGTATTTTCCAAAATCAATCAAAATATGTTCATAAACAAGCAAACTACAACAGCTGACTTATTCTCCATAAGAATAACATGGGAATTTTAAAATTACAATTTTTTTGAATTTTCTCCGTAACAATTAGGCGCATAATAACGCTTCAATATACTAAATTATTTGTTTTTTTAAGCTCTACAAAATGGTTTGAAAATAAATTGCGAAATTTTGTGTTTTTAGGGCCAAAAATGGGAAAAACCTATTTTTACCCCATAAAACCCCCGTTCCCATAGTCCGATCATGCTGGTTCGCGAACTCGTTCAAGTTTATCCTGCCTTACACCTTCAAACCAAATTTTATCAAAATCGGACAAAAATTACTCAAGTTATCGTGCGGATGGACACATATATATATATATATATATATCTCTATATATAGATATATAAAAATTTGAACGAATGGTGTTTTTGGCCTCTGGGGACATCAAAATGAAAAAGTAAATCGGTCCCGGGCTTAGGTCTTACCATGAGACCTACGGTAATAGCTACTTCCCTATAGGGAAATTCGCTAAAACTATGATATGCATTGAGAACTGTCAAAGAAGGAAGGATTGTTTACAGTTACTTTTATTTTTTAATTTTGTGAATCATTTGTGATATTTTACGAATCTTTAATAATTTATTTTTCTCTATTGTTTAGGCGACATGGTAGAATACTATGGTCATGGTAGATGTGTAATACTATAGTACCTATACCGTAAATTTAAAGAAGCAAATTTTATGAAATCATGTCCTCCCCCATTGCAAACACAAAGCTTGAGTATAACTGCAATAAGCATTTTATACTTATATGCCAATCCCGTACGAAGGACGGGTACTCTGCTAGTTGTTCATAAATAAGCAAAATACAATAGTTAACATATTTAAAAATAACAAAGGACATAACAATCACATAGGAATTCTAGATTTACAGTATTATTTAGAATTTTCTCCTTAACCAATAAGCGCATAGCAACGCTTCACTAAGTTTATGTTATTTGTTTTAAGTTCTACATAAAATAGTAGATTTACACATTTGTACCAAATTTGATCAAAATCGGAATGTTTTTGCTCAAGTTAGCGCGCTAAGGGACACATATATATTTGAATGAATATTATTAAGAAGAGCGGATGCTGTTTTTGGCCTCTGGGGACATCAAAACAAAAAAGCAAATCAATCCCGGGTTCAGGTCTTTACCATGAGAACTACAGTAATAGCTTATTTCCTTCATGGGAAATTTGCAAAACCATTAGACATGTTAAAAGTCATTAAATCTATGAAGCTTTTATATTGTCAGATCCATCCAAGCTTGTCTTTTATTGAAACCACAAACTTTTTCCATTTTGAAAACATTACTACAATTAAAATAAAAAGTAATCAGCAATAAAAGTAAAACAAAATTACAACTGTAAAATATAACATATTATATTAACATTATAAGTAATACTTGGTCATATGTCTGCATTTGTAATGTGACTAAGGCACATGGGAATAGCACACGAGGAGGATCAGATAGCATAAAAAGGCTGGGTGAATAACCAAAGATAATGAAGACTACTGCCGAATGTTATATAATATTATATATATATATATATTTTTTAAAGAGGATGGTGGACTCTTTAAACCTTGCATTTGCCCGTCCACATAGACTACAGATCTGTGTGTGGAATGTATCCAGCAAAGCAAGGGGTGAGCCGGCACAGTACGAAGGTGAACTGTACTGATAAAATGTTTGCGGCAGTGACCAGGATCCGAACCCATGACATCACTGCCTTGGGTTCGAAGTCCATGACGCTACCAACTGAGCCACTGACTCAATCTAATCACTCAATATAATCTATAGTAGGCTCACCAATTGATATTGGTAAAATAATTCAAAATACTACTTGTATTTGCTATAAAAGTTCTGAAGCTCTTTGATTTTTAGTCATAGTCAACAAATTGAACAAATTGTTTTTTTAAATATTAAATAGGGATAAACTTGTCTACTAATATCGTAATTGCAAATCTTTTACTTACCAACAAATCTGCTTTTGCCACTATCTCTTTCTCAGCCATAGCTTTCTGTTTTTGAAGGTCAATAATTCGAGCTTTGGTCTCTTTCAGCTCCACTAATGCGTCGGTTTTTTTAATCTCATTGTTTCTGTACTCTCTTTCACATTGGGCTCTTAACTCTTCCATCCACTTCTTCTTATTCTAAGGTAATAAAGCACATTGCATCCCACAGGGAATTTAGTTTGGATTTAAACTTAAGTATATTTCAGGGATTTTAGGTAAATCTAGTAGATTGTATGTGAAAAGGTTTGGTGACAAAAAAAAACATAACAAGTCATGACTCATCACCATCCTGCTGTCAAAACTATGTGTCACTATCCAGTATTAACATTACTTAGCCTAATCTTTACTAATGTTTTTGTGCATGTCTTTATTGGTACGTGAATTGTATGGGGTTTTGGAGTGATGTCAGTGAAAAAGATGATTCTTACTAGCCTGACATTTAATTTGAGAATTAACTTTTAGGTTCAAATCAAATCTATTGGTTGTCAAGAAAACCATACTCACCTGACAAAAATTCAGGCATGTTAACGTTTTATTTAGCATAAAAACTATGATAGTGACAAGGCCTATGAAATCGAGCTTTAAATGTGTGCCACATAGCAAATAGTTTATACAGTAAATGAAACCAAACACACTATTGGAAGAAAATCTAGTTTGAGTTGTTGTTGTTTTTTTTTTTGTTTTTTTTTACTGGTACTATATATTTTTTATTTGCAAGTCAAGTCAGAGAAAACAAAATTATAAAATAAAATTATGTTAAAAATATCAATTTAGCTGTGATATACATATATAAAAAAAATACACTATACATAGCTTACCTCAATCTCCCTTGCATAAGCCTCTTGAAGCTGTTGGACGGTTTTATCATAATCCATTCTATAGTTTTCTAGATCTTTGTTAAGTTGGTGAATATCTTCCTTTACTTTTTCATTAAGCTCCAAATCAAACACCAACTTTTCATATTCCTCAACACTTTTATCCATATCCTCATTAAGGGCCTTCATTTCTTCATCGCAGGCTTTGTTGATGCTTTCACGTTCTTGGTAGAAGTTGAAAAGCTATAAAATATTAACTTTTGTACCAATATCAAACTCATATACAATTTTAACAATGACATTAGAATTGAAAATTCAATTTTATCATTTAAGCCAAGTCATTGACACTTATGTGTTTCTTGAAGAAATTACAAATATAATGATGTTTGCCTATTTGTCTATTACATTTATTACAAAAATAAACTCATAAGGTTAAATAATTATGGACTTGACTATTGCAGTGGCGAGTCTCAATAATCCGAACTTTGGTCATCCAAAAGTCCGCCTAATCCGAAACAAAAAAATATTTTTTTAAAATTTTTTTTATAAAAAAATAAAAAATAAAAAAAAAATAAACTTTTAACACAGTTAGCTGTACTTTGTCAAAGTATTCTGTATCGGGCGGGCGAGATAGACTTTTTTTTGTAGAGTATTTTAGTAAATATTTCACCATTTTTGTTATTACAATTTTCATTTTTGTCCCGGGTTCCAATCCCGCCAAATCACAAATGGATTTTACTAAGTGATAATGCTGCAGCCACTAGGTCTAGCATTAAGTAATGTAAAAAATAATCCCGTGCTCGTGCCTAGCGTTCTAAGACAAAAAATTGTTTTTTAAATTATAAAAAATTAAAAAAAAAATTTTAGTTTAAAAAAAAATTTAAAAAAAAACTTTTAATCCGAAAAATTTGGTAATCCGAAATGGGCCCGGTCCCAACCATTTCGGACTCTACTGTACTAATACAAAAATTGCAGACATTTCCTTTTAACTATTATTTAACATGTTCGTTGCAGACCACTCACTGGTGAGTGCTCTAGTTTTTTTCTAAACGCTTCTTGAGCTAAACGCTCAACGGTGAGTGCCGGCATTGCCTACATTCCATTCAATTTCTGCGCAGCTTACTGGGAAGAACAGGTATTTTTATGTCTGCGTTTAGCTAGGAATGGGTGCTTTATAATGGTGTAGGTTGGTTGTAAATTTTCCAAGTAAAATCCCCTTCTGGAAAGCTTAGAAATCCACTTGTTGTCCCGCTTTCTCCATCCAATTGGCAATACAATAGGGCCAGCTAGTTCCAGGCAGTGCTGCTATCTATGAGTGTTTTAGTAAATTACGTCGACTCTCGCCATAACACAACACATCACCGCACGTCATTTACTATTAGTCTGACTGAAATATTTGAAAGCCAAACGGGTTTGTGGAATGAACTGTGTAATATGTAGCGCTTCATGCTCCTAGCGTTTGATTTATTTCTATTGTTTGATCCAGTGATGCTGACCAACATTCCTTATAACAGTATTTTTATTTATGTCAATTGTAATTTAACAGTTGATGTAAAAGCTTTACTTGAATATTTGAACACAGTCAGATAGTGAAGAAGAGACAAAAATGTTTTTGAAAGTGGAATGGGTCACGTTGATAATTATAACCTGACTGTTTGATGTAACCTTATTGTAAATTAGTGGTTTGATTCACCTAACTGTCTTAAACTTAAGTGCTCACGTAGCCATAGTCCCGAACAGTGCATTGCTGTCCAATTGTTATTTCCTTGATTTGTATATTTTTTTATTATTTCACTCTAAATTCATTGGATGGTTTGAATTCAGATAGTTGGTTTTCAAATAATTTGATTTTTAATCTATAATTAAAGCAGCTGAAACCTAAACTGATATGTGCTAAAACTTCGGAGTCTACTCACCTTAAGGTCACTCTCTTTGGAAACATCTTCAGCTTTAGCCAACTCTATTTCCAAGTTCGTCAGAGTCTCTTGATGATCAGTCTTAGTTTTACTTGCCTCTGCAAATTGCATACTGAGATCCTGGCAAGACGTTTTCAGTAAGTTGTTTGTTTCTTGAAGTTTTGCTGATATTTCTTGGATATCCAAACTAAAAATTGCATTACAAAAATTACATAGTCTGGAACTACAACATTTATGTGGAATTTGTTATCATGAACCAACATTGAAGTGTCTGAATAGGGCGATTTCATAGAAATGTACTTACTTACACACTAAAAAATACCTCTGGATTCGTCAAAACATCTTTGTTATAAATGTAGAATTTAGAACTCCCTATCCTCCCTTGTATTGTAATCAAGCCTCATGTTATTACCCAAAGAGGTTTTATATTTGTTTTATATATGGTTGGAATAGTTATTTATCTTTTTATGTTTTTATGTTTTATCTTTTTATAACACTGAATATTAATATTCAGTGTTGCATTCTTTGCCTATGACCGCGCCAATTTTAAGAAAAAACTGCCTATTGAAGAGAATAAAGTGAGATGAAATTAATTATAAATAGTGATGTGTCATTACCAAAATTTATCAGTTCTTAATACAGATACCACTACAATTTTTTTATTTTGTTTTACTACATGTTCTGAATGGATTTGTTTTACTACACCATATTGCACAATACTGTCTTTATGTCCTTCCATTGAGTATTTTTGAGGAATTGGATGTTTTTCAAAAGAAAAAAATGTATGCAGCAATGATACAGTTCAACTAGCCAATTTAAGTTTATATCATTCTAAACACATTAAAAAGCTACCATATTAAAGATAAATGAAGATACGGTATAACAAACAAACAAAAAACGATATTATAGAGGTGGACTAGCCTGACATTTTCAGTGAAGCCAAACTCGAGGTCTGAGTGGCCTGGTCTCTCTACTAGGCCTGATGAGCCTGACCTAATAATTAATTTTTAATTATGTATTCATGATGGAAAAAAGCTTGGCTAGATTGAAAATCTCAGGCTCACACACCTCTACAAAGAATCGTTAGTTTTGGGGAGTGTCACATCCCCAATTCCTTTTCTATGTGAATCTGTTATACAGTAGAACCTCCGGAGGGGAGGGAGACCACGGATAACGGATTACCACATTTAATCCAACTCGCCATAAACATGTATTACAAACCCATAAAAATGCCTAAATACGATATAAAGGGAAGTTAATGTGATGATTAATTTGCATTTTACATCATCAAAATACAATTATTAGTATTGCGCAATTGTGATATGTCAAGTCATTAACCTTGGTTCAGTAATAAAAACTGTAATGTTTAAACACGCTTACCCAAACAAAACAAAAATTGCCAAACACTGTACAGCAAAAAATCACGTACAAAACAAAACAAAAGAAACTTTAGATTAGTAAGCTACTACTACCGTAGTTATCATAGGCTACTACCATAACATTTTCTTGGGATTTTTTGAGGTTATGTAACATAGTTTAAGAGGCACCTATTGACCACGGTTCATCTGCCCCTGGTTAATCGAGGTTCTACTTGATGTAAAAATGCTTTTAATCCCAACTTATTTCTATAAGGTTCACTCAGACAAACTTGACAATGAGAAACAATATTAAATAAACTTGATTAATTGGAATCAATAGAGTGACATGTGTGTAAAAGAATGTAGCCTATATCATACCTTAATTTCTCATGTTCCTTCAAATAAACTCGTTCTTCTTCCTCAAGGATATGTATGTCCTCTTCGAGAACTAAGACATTTTTGAGTGAGCTCACATTCTCATTTTCTAAATCCGCAATCAATTGGTTCAATTCCAAAATATTTTTACCCAACTCTTCTTCATTACTCGACAATTCAGTTATTTTCTCAACGTGGGCTTTATTTTCAATATTTAAATCATCACAAGTTCCTCGCAGCGTTACGTTTTCTGTTTCAATCTTCATACACACACTGTACTTGGCAGTCAAATCCTCTACATCGGTTTCAAGTTCTTTAAGCTCCTGCTGTTTCTTTATACTTGTCTAAAACAATGGTTCAATTAACATGAGTTTAGCAATACAATAGAGTAATCAAATTGTCTAGATTAGGTTTTTCAGATCAGTCCGCGGTCGTGTTGACATCATCGTCGTCTCCTGCTGTCACAGTAAAACCCTAGTTAACCCGCGCAGTAATGGAACATCACCATCATCTTTCGCGATCACGTAAAAATCATAATCATCTCATTCAACCGTCTATACATCATTTTCTTCTCAAGCAGTCGAGTTGCAATCATTGTCGTCTCCTGCGATGGCGGGAAAATTCTGATCATTAACAAAGGTTGTGTAGAGAGGTCACGGTAAAATCCTGAATATTCCTCGCGGTAACGGAACATTATCATCGTCTTCTGCGATTGGGACAAAATTCTGACCATTCCTAACGGCCATGTAGCAACATCATCGTCTCCCACGGTCACGGTAACTTTATCGTCATCTTGCAAAATCGCGAAAATAGCGGTAATTTTCAAATCACGCGATCTTCGCAGATGAGTTGGAAATCAGAATCGACTTTGAGCAGTTGATTCTCGATCACGATCCCAAAAATATTATATAATCAGTGGGGTTTGATAATTGACCCATCCTTAATTTAACAGTTAGCAATAATTAATGAAACAGAGTTACACCAATCAATTTGAACAGCCTCAGATTAAAAACTTTAAAGTAAAGCATTTTCAATCTGAAAACTACTCTGTTCCTTTAGTATAGGCCTACTTGCTACTTACTGCTACTAACTACTTACTTACTACTAACTTGCTGTTACTGTACTTGCTATGAAAATAAAAAGACTAAGTAAAAACAATCCATTCTGTTAAGCTATAAAGTAATACCACATCTTGATATACATTTTTTACCTTAGAATATTCTTCTTCGTCAGCATTAAGCTGCCTATTTTTATCATTCGACCTTTTTATATCATTTTCTAATTCAATCAAAGTATTCTCCAACTCTGTTATATTTTTGTCTAATGTGTTGATTTCAGTGGACATTTCGATTTTCCTGAAAAAAAGTTACCTCTTGTTTAAAAACTGTGCACAAAGAAAAAAATCCTTTCAGCTAGAGTATAGATAGAACCTTAAGTTTAATAAATTATATTTTACTGAAGCACAGATGCATGTTTGTGTCAGTTAATAGGAAAAATGCAAAAGTAATTATTCAAGTTTTTGATGCCAGGTTAACACTGTTAAGATTTATGAGTATTTGCAAAACAAACTATTCAGGCTAAAGGTAAATACTACCGCCGCTGCAAACCTACAGACTAAGCGAATTTCAATTTTCATGATTGGATTTTCAATAAAATATCACCTTTAAAAATTGTATATTTATTTATTATTTAAATAAGGGACCGTACAAAATGGTACACTTTCTTGACTGTTACAAAAACAAAACCTACGCAGAAAATTAGGGATGGACAAGGTTTAAATCTCATCTCGGTGAACAAGATTTTTTTTATCTCGTTCTACGAGGCAAGATTTTATTTTTATCAAGATTTTTTCGAGACGAGATTTAGATTATATATAAAACAAAACATTTAAAAATGCCTGCAGAAAGTCAATGCGATACACGCAATACAGGAGCGCATTGTTGCGTTTTCTTTGCGTAGGCGTTCTTACTTAATTAATACTAATTATTTAGCTACATGTAAACACTGTTTTGCTTTAATTGTTTTATGATTTTTTATTTCATCGCAAATGATGAGAAGTTTTGTTAGGTGTAAGCAGTGTGAGAGATGTTTTAGTACTGTAAACATAGACAAACAAAAAGACACTGTAAACAAGTCACTCCAAAATCATTCTAAAATTTATAAATAAAAACCTTTTTTAAAAACAAAACGTTTTTAAGCGCACTAAAAAGTAGAAAATAATTTATAAATATGTGGAGAGTATAAATACTTGTAAGATTTAAAACAAAAAACGTGGGGTGCATGCAATAGATAATTTACAATTACCTTCACCTATTGAACTAATGTATTATTATCAATTACATGCACCCCACGTTTTTCGTTTTAAATCGTATTCGTAGAAATTATTTTCTACTTTTTTTATTTAACGTGTGTGGATGTTAAATCTATTTCAAGCATCTATATCAGATTAAGACAGAGGCATGTGGGAATTCTAAGGTTTATTTGAGTTTCTTTTCATATAATTATGTGTTAGATTCAATGTATCCTACCTACTAACTATAAATATATCAATCTATTTAATTTATTGTTTACTTTATAGAATACTAAATAAATAACAATTGACATTATTAACAAACAACTTTATATCTACAACCAGATTGTTAACTTTATTTTGAAATGTTTGTTTGTATAAAGAATCTCTTGGGAGCATAACCTGTACCTCTTAACCTCTGGTCTTCGAACTGTCAAATTTAAGTATTTACAGCTGACTTAAATTAATTGATATATTTACATTCTTTCAAAATGTAAACAAACATGGAAAATTTGGAAGCCCATGGGGCGTAGCCCAGGGGAAATATGAAAATTAAATGTTATAATATTGCATTGTCATCCATTTGTGAGCTATGTTTCAAATTTCAAGTCTCTAGCTCATCAGGAACTTCGTTTAAAATTGATATAAACATTTGTAGGAAAGCGAGCTAATAAAAACAAGCCCATGGGGCGTTGCCCAAGGGAAATATAAAAATTAAATAATATAATATTGCATTGTCATCCATTTTTGAGCTATGTTTCAAGTTTCAAGTCTCTAGCTCATCGGGAAGTATCAAAATTTGCAAGAAAGCGAGTTAATAAAAACAAGCCCATTGGGCGTAGCCCAAGGGAAATATGAAAATTAAATGATATAATATTGCATTGTCTTCCATTTGTGAGCTATGTTTCAAGTTTCAAGTCTCTAGCTTATCGGGAAGTTAGTATAAATTTGATTGCAAAATTTGTACCGGACAAGAAAGCAAGCTAATAAAAACGTTTTAAAATAACACAAACCTGAAAAATTGTAATTCAATACATAACTAGTAAGACTGATGTTTCAAACTGATAAATTCTGTATTTTTAAAAGTTGAACTATATCCTAACTGATATCACCATGTTTCCTATGCGTAAGAGTTATTTTTAATAATGTAGGACCACAAATACTTGAACAGAACTGGTATGGATTATAAACGTAGGCAAATGAAGTTTTTGGCCCAAAAATAAACATTGCTTAAATGGAACTGTCTAAACCATATGTTAATGCTATTTGTATAGGATTCGAGCCAGCAGCGCCATTTGTTTATGTTTATGATCCATACCAGTTCTATTCAAGTATTCGTGGGTAGGACTAATTAATATTTGTTTTTTACTGATGTTTTTTATTAGTGTTTTTAAATAAAAGATTTGAAATATTGTTGCCTATTATTATTATTTTTGTATTTAATAAGTCATCATACATCAGTAGGTATTTAACAATGTTACAAAATCAGGTTAAAATGTCAAAAGTGCATTTCCAGTTATATATGTATGAGGAGAAGGAAAATCCCGTCTCGATCTCGTCTCAAAATTTGATGAGAAATCAAAAATCCTGTCTCGTCTCGAACTAAAAATCTAATCTCGTCCATCTCTACAGAAAATACACTGTAGAAACAGTAAAAAGTTCATAAAATAGAACCTTGTTTGTTTAAATGAACTTCTTTTAAACTAGTCTACTAAAGACTCAGCTATACTAACTAAAGATTCAGCTAATCTTCACAAGAACGGTTCAAAGCTCCCTCTATAAGTAATCATAGTAATGACTCAGACTGAAATAAGTAATCACTCAGTATAGCCTTTGTACATTTATTGATCATTGATTTAGTGCTACAAAACTATACCTGTTTAATTCGTCTTGCAATTCAGTTTCCAATTGGGTACTTGCAGAATTGATCTGGTCTGTTTCTGCTGCCAATTCCATCTTCAATGTTTCAAATGTCTTCTTCAGCTGAAAGATGGTAAATCATGATTGGATATCAGATTTTCAGTCCCTGTCTGTTGAGAGACACCTTTACATATAAAATAGTGTTCATGTGGTAGGCCACAAAGCCATATAAAGCCTATGTTTGGCGCTAAGTAAACTAATTTTTAAAAGGAAGGTAGGATTACCAGGGCCGATTTACCGAATAGGCACGGTAGGAACGTGCCTAGGGCGCGAGGCAATTGGCTTTTTTGGGGGGCGCCAAAAATTTGGAAAAAAAGTTGGTGGTTGTTTTCATGCGATTGCGGTAAACTTCTGATAATCCCTCGCGGCCGTGTAGACATCGTAATCGTCTCCCGCGTTTGCGGCGAGATTCATACTATTTTCAGCGGTCAGGTCGTTTAGACATAATTATCGTCTTCCATGATCGAAGCAATATATGAGCATATCCCGCGGTCGTGAGGAGATTATCATCGTCTACCGCGAATGAGGCAAAATTCTGATCTTTTCCCGCGGTCGCAAGGACATTATCTTCGTCTTGCGCGATCGCGGTCAAATTCTGACCACCCCTCGCGGCGGTGAAGACATCATTGTATCGTCCCCCGCGGTCGTGTGAACATATTAATCGCCTCCCACGATTGTGACAAAGTGGTTATCATCTCCCTCGGTAATGTGGAGATCGTCTTCCGTGAATGAGGCAAAATTCTGATTTTTTCCCGCGGTCATGTGAACATTATCATTGCCTTGCGCGATCGTGGCATAATTCCGATCGTCCATCGCGGCCGTGTAAATCATTATTGTATCTCCCGCGGTCCTGTAGACATCGTAACCGTCTCCCGCGGTCGTGTATACATGGTAATCGTCTCCCGCGATTGCAGCCCCACACAGCACACTACGTATAATATACGTATATTTTAGAGATACATATCCATTTTATGTTTGGTAAAATCCAATACGTAAAATATACGTATTTTATACGTCTCATATCTACTAATTAAAAAGATTATCTCCTATTTGTATTTAGTGGTATTTATTAAAAGTTGATGCAAAAATAACAAAATCTTTTTTTTTAATGCTTATGTTTCAGAATAATCATAGGTCAGGTAAATCCGGTTGCTGTATATTATACATAAATTAGACGTATAGGCATAGATCCAGATCGACGTTTGTTTAAATCTGTATATAAAAACACAAAATGTTTAATAAAGTAATACAAGGATAAATAAATTATTAATGTATTTAGAAGTAATTCTATACAAGTGCTGCGATTTTGCACGCCGGTCTAGCTATACATAAAAGTCTTTTCCCCTCTCTCTCTCTCACTCACTCACTCACTCTCTCTCTCTCTCTTTCATTCCCGTCATCCTTTGCTCTAGCACTAGTAGCGCTGTCTGCAGTCTGCTGGATTTCAGTTAATTCAAAATTGTGTTTATTATTAGCTGGTTTATTATGAATATGTAAGGATGTCGTTGGATCACTCACTTACTGTTTTTCACTAAGTTTACTTGGCCAGTTTTTGAAGAGTTAGAACAGTTTTGCTACTGTTAAGTGGTATAGTAAATTAATAGAGTTTATTCCCAATAATCTCAATTCAAACCCTAGTCGTTAGTTAAAAGTTTGGGTACTAAAGTAATATTTTGTAGGTTAAGTTTTTCTGTTGATTCTGCAAAATTGAACTTCGTTATTGCTTTAAGGTAAGTGTCTGGATTATTATTTTAACAAATTAAATTAATATGATTTGGATTTTGGGGTTAGGTAATTGAGTAACTTAACCCCTTTTCCGGTAGATCCTTGATGATTATGAATAGGATAATTACTGTAGTTATTTTTATAACCTAGAATCACTTTCCAATTTTATTGACCTAGGTTTAGTGAGTTATGTTAAGTAATAGTGTTTTTATTCATTTCTAAGTCATCGCGTTTGGGACATTGCCTATAAAAGAACATGAGGTTATTACCTAATCATCATCTAGGCAAGATAGGATTGACAGAATAAAGAAGAAGGCTACGATTAGTAGTCAAAGTTTTGCTGATTGTTGTGGGTACACTTCCATATCTGTTGGCACAAACAACCGAACGAGTAAAATCGATAGACATATTGAATTGTTAGGTTAGTTGGGTAAGGTCAACCTAACCTTACTAACCAAACGATATATCGAATTAAACAATCGAATAATCAATATTAAGTTACTCATTCGGTTGTTTGTGCCAACAGATATGGAAGTGTACCCTTTGTAGAATATCACGGATAGATTGTTGATTGTATTAAGTAGGTAGGCCCACTGTAATGTTAGACTAAAAGAGCTGTAGAAAAGCATGCTTTACAAAGGCCATTAATGAAATTTAATTGAACCCCTGAAACTTTTTGTCCTAGGTAAAACCTAGTAGCCTAGTACATTATTTTATTTTTTGCATTGAGTTGTGGCCTTAGACTCGTAATCTATTACTGCATAGTTTGCGAAAGGGTTGTTAAACTTACTAGCATGATAAGTTAGGCCGATGAAACAAAGCTCAAACCTGTAAGTTAGCGGTTAGTAAACCTATCACAATAAAATCTCTCTTAACCGATCCTCGATCAATCGCTCCTTATATAGGCTAGGCTAAAACCCATGTCCAGGCAAAATTTAGATTTTGTTAATACCTCTAAATATCTTTTCTGGATTTTTTTTACAATTTCCATCTAAGTTATATTTTTACTAGGTTCATGGTAGGACTAATGATAAGCTGTTTATTGGAGATTTCATTATGTCAGTAGTACACTTTTTCAGATTGAATTCTTTACAAGAGACGGACGTTCCGTTGAATATTCAGGAAGAAGGACGTTGGTGAGGCTGATCATCATGTTGCTGTCAATTTCAGTTGTGAAGGAATGAAAGGGGAGAGAGCGTTGAACAACCTTTCAATTTTCAAGGTTTTGGAATGTAAGTCTGTTCACATTACCGTACATAACTTAAAACTTGTTAACATTATGATTTTCTGGGATGATCACTGGATTAATTATATTTTTTAGACAAGTTTCAATACAAAATAGCGCACTACAGTGGGGAACCTCGATTAACAGTCACCCTTTAAACAACCACTCAGAATACACGGGAGTCAACCCCGTGAGCCAGCGTAAATATTTGCAACCCAGTCTTTTCCTCACCTCCACCCTCCTCCCGCCAAAACTGCCGCAATAGGCTAAGTGTCAGCTTATGTGTCACGAGCTGTATAGGGTTTGATTTCTTCCCAAACCTTTTAAACTAACTTACTGCAGCCTACAGGTTTATAACAGGATTTCTGTCATCCGTCTATTATATTAGCTTCACAACATTCACGCTCCTGGTCCTGAGTGTGATGGTTAATAGATGTTCTACTTTAGGCCTACCTATGTTTAAATTATTCAAGTTCTAGGACTAATTAAATATTAAGGAGGGTCTTAAAAACCTATTTCAGCCTTTTTACCAAGTTTCTACTTCAATTAGAAACATTAATAACAAATGTCTCTTTTGGAAATTCCAATTTGCTTACAATTTAGGGTAAAAACAATGCAATGGCTAGGAATTCAACCCACTGGCATACTGAAATTGCATTACCTAACTAAATGAAATGAAAATCCTTCTTTATTGAGGTGAACTTAGGACCTCATAGTCCTTTCTTACAGTTAACCTCTATACAACTAATAATAACAAGAAAATAAAAAAATACAATACAGTTTGCAACATAACTAGTAATAAAATAGCATACATTTATTCATCTTCCCTAACATACAGTCACACACACATACACCCTCTGCTGCATCTAAGCCTAACGAGTATGTTTAATCTATGGCCTAACGCACGCCACCTCGCCAAGCCACGGGCATCGGGTCAAGGTAATATTCTTTCAGCATCACCATCAGTCGGGATGGGGTTTCTATGGATTTGATGGGAATAGGTATGGAGTTCCATAGGCAGCATGCTGTTACTAAAATGATTTATTTATAAACAGTTGTTCTTTGATGAGTAGGTTAAAGCGAAGCGTGGACGAGCCAGAGGGAGTATCCCTTTTGCGCCCCTTTCATTACAAAATTTTAAGTTCTTTGCGAGATGATTTGGAATTCCAAGATTGATGACTGAATGAGTAATTAAAAGTATTCACAATTTTCTAATATCTTCTAATTTCAAAATTAATTCATTAATGTAATAGGGTATGACGTGGTCATCACGCCTAAGATTGAACAAGAATCTAACACAATAATTTTGTACACGTTGTAATTTTGTTGCCAAAGCAAAGTCATATCATTAACCACAGTGTTGCAGTGTGGAAACAAGAGTTATTTGACCAGTAAGAGTTTAATGTGAAAAGGTAGAAGTCGTTGCATCTTCTTCAGTATGTGAACAGCGGCAAAACACTCTTTTACAAGTGCTTACCACGTCAGTCCAGTCCAATGTGCGGTTTAAAGTTAAACCAAGACTTTTTACTTTGTCCAGGTATTGCAAAGTGGATCCGTTTTTACAATGATTTTTGGTAAATAGTCTAAGTCCAATTTGTTGAGTAACCGTGAGTGACCTATTATGATTGGCTTTGTTTTGTCAGAATTTAGTCTAAGCCCGTCATATACTTTTACGACTCTGTAAATATGTTAATCTATTGCCCCTGGCATTGTCTTTTGCAAGATGCAATGATATTTAGTCTATGGTACTACTTTTCCCATTGTATCTCAAGATCATTGGGCATAAAGATGAGCATTACCAAATTTTCACACACAAAAATCTAGGCCTATATGAGTTTTATCACATTGAAACTTCTGATTGCAAGCCGATTCCGATTAAGATTTTCTGTGAGTGTTTTGCCTGAGTCAAACATACCGTTGAAGAAAATATGTTGCCATTATCGACTCGGTTAGCAAATCACTCAGTCATTGTTATGAAATTGTCAAATGATCTTTAGTATATAAAGCCGTGTTTACACTGGAGATTGGGACTTTGGTAGGTAGGTCTAAAACTTGTTTCTAACAATTTGTGTGAACAACTCCTGCGTTGTGGAAATATCGTGATTTTTTAATCGCACAATTGCTGCAGATGCATCCTGTGTTCATAATACTATTGAAACTAGGCCCTAATGCCTGACAGATTCTGCAAAACATTCTTACTTTGTTTCATTATAAACTGTATAAATATAATAATTTGTGTAGGTAGGCTGAGTACAGTATAGCTAAATGTTTGGTGCGCTGGTATTATCCTTAAACCACTTATTTTTAGAGGGATTTTTTACCGGAGGCCAAAAATAACTACACAATTGAAAAAACATTTAATTGACATACTGTCCAAATTTGACATCATTAAGATTAGCGGCCTTTGAGTTCTGTCTCCCAAAAGGCAGCGATGTCGGCGAGGATTGACTGAATACACATAGCCTACTCCACCAAGTAGTTATATAGTGTGCTGCGGCGGTTATGTTAGGTTGGGTTGTCATAAATATGTTTGTAGGACTTTCCTCGTTTTGTTATGAATCAATTGATTCCAGATGAGTAACGATAACAGAGATACAGGCGGTGACCATCGATGTATTACACATTGATGGCGGTGACAGGTGATGCGCACGCTCTGTTCAACAACCTGACCTTGGCCTATTTGGGAGGATTTAGCAGGTGAAAGTATGACTCATCTGGTATGGTTATATTCATAACGAAACAAAGAAAGTCCTACAAACATATTTATGATAACCCAACCTAACATAACCGCCAAAGCGTGCTGCATAAGGGTGGCCTCCGGATAGTACGGTACCAAAGTACCAAATGTTTTTAAGATAAGGGAATTGCTTTTTATAAACAGCAAACCTTTTTCAGGTTTACTAGCTGCATCATGTCCAAAAACCTTTCCTAACAAAATTTATGAAGGAAGAGTAAGAGAGTGGTTTACACAAGCTGGAACAAAAATGGCAAGTAAAAACAAGAGGAGATCATTGTAGTCTGTGTAAATGATTAATTTTTATAATAAATCTTTATTTATCTACTGTATTACTTTGTTGTTTATCTAAGTCTTCTCCTTTAGTGTCTGTAATTTTTTTCATTCTATGAAAGTCTACATTTAAGTATTTTTAACAAACACATAAATAAAAGTCTAGGGTTAACTATGTTGTTAGTTCAAATTTTTTTTGTGAAATAAAAAAAATAATATTAATTTTTTTACAACAGCATTTGATTATTCACACCATAGATGAAGCAGTTGTTATTTTTTACTACTTGGCAATTACCATTCAAAATTTTAGTTGCAGCAAATTGATATATACAAGGATTATATATCCCACAGTCTAGGATGCTTTCTTTTGTCTATACTTTCCGTTTACTCATATTATACAAACCGTATGAACTAAGTGTTGACCTTAACTAACGGTAAGTTGTGCTTACAGATTTTGTAGATTTATCTTATTTATGGGTAACAAATGTAAAACGTATGGGATAATGTACGTATATCTGTAAGACAACTTCTACGTAGATTATATGTACATTATACATCTGCTATATAAATTGTACGTATATTTTACATATACACGGTTTATGATAATGGACCAATCTATATTTATACGTATAATCTACAGATATTGTATGTCCATGTAGACCTTAAATTGACGTATATTGTACGTCAACAAGTGGGACATTTGAGCGTATATTATACGTACATTTTATGTAACCTATCTCTCTGATATACGTATTGTAGATCTAAGTTGAACATACATTATATGTATAATCTACGTATGTGTGCTGACTGGGGCAAAATGTAAATCATGTTCCGCAGTTGTGTGGACATTATCATCGTCTTCCGTGATCGTGGCAATATTCTGAATATCTCGCGGCCGAGTGTAGACATATTATAGTCTCCCGAGGTCACTGCTGTCATGCGCGATCACGGTAATTTGAAAACTCCAGGTAGAAATACAAAATTCACACATAATTCCCGGTTCATAAAATTTCCGCATGATTCCCGGATTTCCCGGTCGGTGGACACCCTTATGTATATATTGCAAAGGGGCGCTACTATTAGTTGTGCCTAGGGCGCTAACAGGGTCAAAAACGGGCCTGAGGATTACTAACATTTTAGTAGCCTACTTACAAAATGTTGTTAGCCTAGATGTAAGTTTTAAAATAAAAACCTGGTAAAGTTATACCTCAACTCTCTGTGGTTCTACGATGTTAATCTTGATTTCCTCCTCTCGGCATGCACTCAGAAGCTCCCTTAGTTCTTGTACCAATTCCATCTCCTGTTGCTTAATCTGCTCAAACTGTTTACTTAAATGTGTTTTCAATTGACATAGCTCAGTTTTTTCTTGTTCTTTACGTTCTTGAAGCTCCAATACTAGAGCATAGAAAGTACAGATCTATTAGTATATATGCCTAAAACTTGGACTAATTTATGTATCTATAATATTACAAATACAGTGGAACCTGGATAATTCGAACTTCTTTAATTCGAAATCTTCTTTAATTCGAATTTTTCCCGTGGTCCCTAGCATTTTGTATTAAAACAATGCTAAAATAACGTGGATAATTCGAATTTTATTTTGGATAATTCGAATTTTTAAGTGCCAAATCATTAAATTATTACTCTAAATATATTCAAAAATAATAAATAAAAAACATATTCCAAGCCACATTTGACGAAATGTTTGCGTTAGAACAAGTGCCAGCCCTCGCGCGCCTGCGTTTAGTCTGATGACTCATACCTCCCCTCCCGCCACCGCCCTACAGGTCATTGTACCCTACACTCCCTTCCCCTTTCTCCTCTCCCACCCACCACCACTGACCTCTTTTCAGTGTCGCATTGTGCGTGGTCTGTATCGGTTTGCGTGAAGGCCGTTACCTAACGTAGTTTTGCTGTTGTCTTAGACTTTTAGTTTCAAGTGATTACGTGTACAGTACTGTAGTTTTAACGTACCGTACTGCACTACTGTATACATTAACTTTTAGTGAGTGTAACTGTGTAGTGATCATGGCATCAACCTCATCGAAAAAACCAGGGTCTTATAAAACTTTGACATTAGCTGAAAAAGTCGCTGTGATCAAAGAAGTGGAAAAAGGAGTCAAGAAAAAATCTGAAATCGCGAAAGACTTTGGAATTCCACCCAACACCTTATCAACTTACTTAAAAAATAAACATAAAATTCTCAGCAGTGCAGAGGAATTTGATAAAGACAGGAAACGATCGCGAGAGCCAGGAAATCCGGATGTCGACAATTGTGTGCTTAAATGGTTCAAGCAGACCAGAGACAAGAAAGTTCCTGTGAGCGGTCCTTTGATTAGAATCAAGGCTGAGCAATTTGCTAAAGAATTAGGGAAGCAAAACTTTAAAGCTAGCACTGGGTGGCTGGATGGTTTTAAGGAGCGCAATAAAATTTTGTTTAAGGCAGTGTGTGGTGAAAGTGGGGCGGTGAACCTGCAGGAAGCTAATCAGTGGAAGAACGATCTGGAAGAGATGATCCAGGACAGAGACCCGAGAAATATTTTTAACGTTGACGAAACCGGTCTTTTTTTCAAATGCACGCCCGATAAAACACTTGCATTTAAGGACGAAAAGTGCCACGGGGGGAAATTAAGCAAGGAGAGAATCACGCTATTGGTTGGTGCTAATATGGATGGTTCGCAAAAGCTGCCTTTGTTGATGATTGGAAAATCGGCCAATCCTCGTTGCTTTAAAAATGTCAAGTCTAAGCCAGTAGAATATGTAAGCAGTTCTAAGGCTTGGATGACAAGTGACCTTTTTGCGAAGTGGCTAATGAAGTTGGACAAACGGTTTGTTAAAGAAAATCGACAGGTTCTCCTTTTCATTGACAATTGCACGGCACACAACACCATACCTGTCATGGAAAATGTCAAAGTGGTTTTTTTCCCAGCCAACATGACCTCTGTTGTCCAGCCCATGGATCAAGGGATCATAAAAAACTTGAAACACTTTTACAGGGGTTTGTTGGTCGAGAATATCCTGTCCGGGGAAGGAAACGCCCTCAAAATAAAGCTGGACATTTTAGAAGCATCGCGAATGTGCAAACAAGCGTGGGACAAAGTGAAGCCGGAAACAATAAAAAACTGCTTCAAAAAGGCAGGTTTTGTTAAAACCGACGAAGAAAGCGCCGAAGAAACTGTAACGGACGAAACTCTACCAATCGACGGCTGGGAGGATGTGGCACCCAATCAAACCATCTTGTACGAGGACTTTCTTAATGTAGACGAAAATGTCGCTGTGTGCGGTGAATTAACTGACGCCGACATCGTAGCAGAAGTCCTCGACACCGAGGAACAAAATGACGATGGATCGGGGGACGAGATCGTCGGGTCACCGGCCGATGAAGAAGAAACGCCAGTACCGAATGCAGCCGACGCCATGACCTACCTGAGAGAAATTCGGCGATTTGTGGAGAGCAGAAATGATGTCGGTGATGTACAGTTTAAATCATTAGATGTTTTAGAATCATTTATCATGGCCGAGAGATTAAACTCAAAGAAACAAGCCAAAATCTCTTCTTTTTTTGTAAAACAATAAATTAGATTTGATATGTTTTTTGTTTAACAATCAGTCAATACGGTCTCCAAACTTTTAGTTCTCTTTGGCCGATATTTTTCTATTTCTGTCCTGTTGTCCTGTATAGGGCCTATTTTGCTTAATATTTTGCTTTGGACTATTGGTAATCGTGTGAAGTTTGCGTGCAGTTCAGCTATTGCTGAGGACATTTTAAGGTTAGTTAATTTTAGTTTTGTACATAATTTCGTTGTCGTTTGAGCGATTGCAAGTTATTTTTATTGTATACTATTACTGTAATAGGCATTATTCAATAAATTAATGTTCAAATAGTATCAATAAAGTTAATAGTTTGAATTTAAAACGTGTTTTTATTGTTTACGGCCCTGGTTATAAGAACTTATTTAATTCGAATTTTTGGATAATTCGAAGTTTTTAGCTGGTCCCTTGAGGTTCGAATTATCCAAGTTCCACTGTATTCAACCCATCCACTAAAGAGACAGTCTTTTCTTAATCTAATACACAGTGTTGGGGAAGCTACTTTTAAAATGTAGCTAGCTACAACTACTGCTACATTTCCAAAAAAGTAGCTTAGCTACAGTTACAGCTACAGTTCCGAAAAAGTAGCTAGCTACAACTACAGCTACAATGAAATGTAGCTACAGCTACAATTTTAGCTACTTTTCCAAAGACGTTACTTTTTTCCCACGCACATTAGGTAAATGTAAAATTAATTGCAACTACATTTTTATTGAACAAACATTTAAACAAAAAATGTCAGTATTGTATCTAACATTACTTGGAAAACAAATTATTCCTAGATTGTATTTAATTTGTTGGCATTATAAACCTAACATTACATAAAACTAATCAACTGCAATAGGTATATAGATGTACAACAGAACCAAATAGTTGGGTGCCCCGTCATATTTAGTACCATTTTTAAATATTGCATTATTTTTAAGCATCTTATATGTAAATTTCATTAAGTTCAAAGGACATACAACCAAACTATATTTTAAAAGCTCATTTTATTTCTTTAATATAGATTCATTTATATATGTCTTATATCAAAAATTAAGACCAATAAAACTGTAAAACGGTTATTTAAAATACTTTTTTTGTGTTACAGAGCCTAGCCTACTGAAATTGGAGTTTATCGCATTTCTTTATTTTTAATGTTAAAAACGACATTGCTATAACTTTTAACCATAGTGATAAGTTACTTGTTCTATGAATAACACTTTTCTATGTCAAGAAATCGTCCTTTATTGTCATTATGCATAGGGCAAATTGTGCTTCAACCTAGTTGGTGCAGAAAACAGTAGCCTATTCAGCAACTTATCCTGAAATCGGCTTTTAATTTAAACATGTTGACAATTGTAAAGTAAAAATAACATGTAGGCCTACTTGGCTATGTAACAAGTTGGCTAAAGTAGGCTTGTTCTTGCAAGGACTAAACAGATATATTCCTAATAATTGAACTTGAAACTTTGTATTCGTCTTAAAACATAGCATAGCCTAGGAATAGTTCTAGATACAAGAGCTGTTAGCAGGAGCAAACTGTGCTATTTTTTCAATGTAAGTTTCATGTTATATGGAGATTTTTTCGTTACAATTATCATTTAGTCTAGACATATCTTAAATCTCATCAGGTAATTTCCTCTTTGTTAATTTAGTAAACATTTGAAAAATATTCGTAATCTAACCAAGGAAGGGCTTGTGATGATGAACCACAATCAACAGCTGAATCAAAGGTTGATAGACCAGCTTTCTCATTATTTTAAGGTTTAGTGTTGGTGTCCATTAAAACCCAAGTTAAAACACTATCGATATAATAAAGAAACTAAATTGATTACTAATTTCCCTGCCAACCACTTGCAAGCATTCATTCAATAGCTTCTCTTGTCACCGGTAACGTTTAAACGTCGTCTGCATCTAGCGATTTTATATTTTATTTTATCTGACAGTAATCATAGAGTAGTAAATTGGAAATGAGAGCCAAAAATTCAGATAACACTCATTTAATGGCCTTCATGTCCACACAACGTTGTAATAGGGAATGAAACGGGTGCAACCAGCTGTATGAAGCCAAGAAAGTAGGCCTATTTTTTTTGAAAATCTCAGTTTGATATTGAAAGAGGTTGTTTCACGTAAGGTTGAGGTTATGATAAAAATCACTATCTCAAACAATGTTAATGTAGCGAGAAAAGTAGCTAAAATTCCGCTACAACTACTTTAAAAATGTAGCTAGCTACAGCTAAAGCTACAAAATCTTAAAAGTAGCGTAGCTACAGCTAACGCTACAAAAAAAGTAGCGCGCTACTGTAGCGTCGCTACTTGTAGCGCGCTACTTCCCAACACTGCTAATACAATACCGAATTTAATCAAATTCAGATGTTTTCTTCTCAATGTATAGTGCTAACATACACATATAATATAGATGCATAGACTCATAGATACAATTCATAAATGAATTTTAACGGATGGTGTTTTTGGCTTCTAAGAACCTCCAAAGGAAAAAGTAAAGGTGTAGGCATTATCATAAGACCTACAATAACAGGCAATTCACATAAAATATAAAAAAAAAATGAAATCGGTCAAGCAACCTTAACATTATCACTTTATGGAATGACTCAACACAGGTTACAAAAAGAAACCGCATTACCTGCGGTCCCACCCGTAGCACCAGCATGTTTCGTCTGAGGACGAGAAACTAGCCCTATCCACTGTTATCAACAAACTGCTTCCACAGAGCATTCTAAGATAACTACCGCCTACCATCTGATACGCAAAAGATAGAAAAGCATTTAGACCTGATAAAAGAGTTCAAGAATGATTGCAAAGTGATTGCAAAAATATAGCCTACCCAAAGCTAAAATAGACTGGGACGGTGGCATCGCCCTGTAATCCAGCTACTAGAAGGTCACAAATTGTGGATATTTATAGGCATGCACGGTGGATGTGATACTCCTTGGTGTGGATTAACGTCTGCACTAGTGAGTACTACGACTATCCGCAGTACTATCCTGCCTAATAATTAGACCAATTCGTATACAACATGACAAAAATGTGATTCGGATTCCACTATAAGCTGTAGGTCCCTTAGTTGCCATTAGCTGTATGGGCTAAATTAACAGCTTTGTCTAAGGAATATGTCTGCCTTAGTCACTAACAAGACTACAAGATCGCGCCACTCATCCTACACTCATCTCCATTCATACTTGGCTTAAAATACCTACTCTGTATGGTCGCCATTTCAATTAAAAGTATTCAAGTATTAAGCTTTTCAGGAACATTTTGCAATCCCTGTTAGGAAAAAGATATATTTAGCTTTAAATGAAAAATGGACGGACTTCTACTTCAAAGATCTCCCTGGTGTAAGCACAAGGAGAAGACCTGCAAGACTTATTTTAAGGTAAAAAGGTTGCCTTTTTCCAAAAAGGGTATAACATCCCCATAACCACTACACCAAGTCTTTGAACCTTAAGCTAGATATTTTTATGTGCCTAAAAATATACTTGAGTACTTTAAATCTTACGAGCTTTGTTCGCCGCTTCTACATAGTAGTTGTTTTCTTTCTCCAAACTTTCACTGGAATCTTCCTTCATCTGTAATTTTAATTTCAATTGTTTCACCATGTCTTCAAGTTCATTTTTGTAACCAAGCATTGGATTTATGGTTTTTCCCCATTTTTCAAAATTGTTATCCAAATCTTGAAGTTTCTCTCTTAAGTTGTGAATCCTAAAAAAATGACAAAAGAATAATACAGGCCTAACTTAAATTACTAGGCCTAGGCCTACACAGTTTTGTCTTTAGTTAATCATGTAAGGTTGGTGATATATAGCAGGGGTCTCCAACCTTTTTTACTTAAGGGCCACAGTAAATATTTTTTGTGGAAGGCGGGCTGGAATGTCAACAATTCAGTGTAGATAGGTAGCCCCCCTCCAAATAACCCACAAAGATGTAGTTTTCTAATCAAGAGCACAGCAATGAAGTTTGAACATTTCTTGCAGATTTTTCGTTTGCTATATAGGCCTAACCTTTTGACTAACTAAAAATTCTGTACGATTATGTGCAAATGATACTGTAAAGTCTGCGACCAAACAAAATAATTGACCTAGGTACCTCACATAATTATTTGTGGGTATATAAACTATGTTTGTCATATTTATACTTTGTTAAAGTAGACCCCCTCTTAACCGACCTCGTATTAACCGATAATCGGATTATCCGCCTTCGATCGTAAAATAATACAGTTTGTTTTAACCGACCTTGCTTTGAGAGCAGCTCGTTTTAACCGCCGCTTTCTAGGAATCTCGGCATTTCCGCTCCCACGCTGGGCGATAAGAACCGAACCATACGCTTATCTCCACAGGATATGACTAAGAATAAGTTATTTTGTGTTGATCACAAAAAATATAGCACAGCCTATTGTCAGTTTGTCATCATCATTCGTGGCTCGAGCGCATCTGATCTGTTTGTTATCTGTGGGGCAAATTTATAACATCATAAAGTGTGTTACAATTTTGAGAACTGATTATCTTATCGCTGGAGTAAACAAACAACGCAACTTGTAGGGAGGGCAGGGAAGGGAGGTTAACAACTCCAAGGTCAAGATAGTTTTTGTGCCTCGAGCCTTCAGTGAGAAGGCTATAAATAAACGTCCTGTCTTGTAACAAAATGGTTGCTTGTATCTTTAATTTTGACAAAAGGTTCTGTACCGTATTACGATGGATTTGTAAAGCATCAATTAATAAATTACAGTACTAAAGTTATTAAAATAGGAATTTTATTGACTCTTGCCTAGTATTATAATATATTCCACTGAAAATAGGCCTGTTTGACTTAACCGTGTTTAGTGTTAATTTGTGACTTTTCTATCAAATAGGAAAAAGGAGATAAGAGTAGTTTATTTGATAAATAATGCAATTATGATTTCAAAATAATGATTATATAATTCCAAATAAATAGCACTTCATTATGTTATGATTTTAGGGATTGTCCGTTTTATCCGACCTAGGTCCGGTCCCATTAGGGTCGGTTAAGAGGGGTCTACTGTATAACATAAGAAAATGACTTTGTCATTACTTACAGGTATTGCTATGACCGTGAGTGACGACCACGTGGAATTCCCGAGTTACCGAGTTCGCAAAGGACGATCACGTTATCAATGAGACCGCAACATTTACTTACGGATATTGCTATAACCGTGAAAGACGAGATGATCGCAGTACCGCCAAGACCGCAAAATTTGCTCGCGAGCCCGAGTGTAGCCATGATCGCGAATAACGATCACTTGGTCACAGAGACAGCAATATTTTACTTAGGCCTACATGTGTTGCCACGATCATGAATCACCATCACAATATTACTGAGACTCAAATTTACTTATGGGTATTACCGCAACTTTTACGATCATCGATTTATACCAATTAGGGCCTTATATAGATAACTTCTTGATCAGCATTGTACGTGTTATTAAATTTACGGAAAGTCTTATAACACTTAAAACATATATTAACGCTTATCCTGTTTCTCACAAGACGGTAATAGCCTACATAAAATATGGTAAGTGGTGATCGATTTCAATCATCATCAGACCCATAGGCGATTGCCTGAAATAGGCGTAAAAAAAACCATCTTTTATGTAGGCTATATTTACCGTCTTGTGAGTAACAGTATAAGCGTAAATATTATGTTTTAATTGTTATAAGACTTTTCTTATATTTAGGCCTACTTTCCACAAATTATATATAAAAATAATAATTTTCCAGTAGGTCTTTCTGGGCTAGGCAAAATCTGTTTGCGAGCCAGATGTGGCGCGCGGGCCGTAGGTTGGAGACCCCTGATAAGTATTTACAAGCTTAATGTCGGTGTGTTTATAAAAGTTTTATTATAACCTCAAGATGTTTCCAAAGACATTTGTTGAGTAGCCTTAGAAATGTTAAACCACTAAGTTAGTACCGTAGGTAGTGAATTTTGGCCTGGACCGAAACTAAAGTTCGCTGAGTAATAATATTAACCATTAAGTATGTACAATTAGGCTTGTACAATAAAACTTATTTATGAAAACATGGACTTCCTATTGTTCCATTGTTAATAGGCCTACAATATTTGTTTATGTATTATAGGCATATTAGGCCATTTTATAGAAAAAAAGATTTGGAAAAATTTGAAAATAGGACTTTTCAAAAAGTTCAATGCTAAGAGAAGAGCAAGCATAATTTAGCTAACATAAGTTAGACTGTTTAACTTAGTTTCCAAAATGAAGAAGTTTCTCAATTTGGTTGGTTAAGCCTATTAATCTGCCCTTAAATTAAAGAAAAACGTTTGAAACGAATAATTCAAAGAGTGACAATGATCATTTAAAGTACTTACTTAGACATGTGAGTCTTGTTTTGTATTGCTTCACTGTGGCTATTTATTTTGACATGTTCTAGTGTTGATTGCTGTTTTTTTATGTTGTCAGCTTGCCTGCGACATATTTTCTTCAACTCGTCAACTTCATTTCTATTCTGTGCAATTCTATCTTCCAAAATCGCAATCTCATTTTTGAGAATGGTAGCAGATTGTTGTACCAAATCTCCGTAGCTCATTGAGCATTCAGAGCCATTTTCAACATCACTGTTCTGCATCTTGGATGTGCAGTCCTATAATTTGTATCTTCGAAGGACTCTAAGTGAAACATTTAAATTGTTATGAATTATGAATAAGGCTGGTTAAATAAACGACCATTCATAAAAAATTTCAGAATTAAAACTCAATTCAGCTTATTAACTTGAAAGAAGTTACTTTTTTGGAGAGATCTAAGTTGATCCTAAGTTAAGTTCACCTTGGTAATTTATTGTAGTTAAGTTATATAGGTAGCCTACTATTTGGTATATTTTTCCAAGGATTGTGTTTTATTTTTATTTTTAATTGACTTTGTCTATGTGATCGTAGGCTACCTACATGTTTTACAGATAGGCCTAATAAATTATTTGATATGATTTGATTTATTAGCTTATAACCCTTTTTGATTAAAACTTATTTTTTAAATTTTAATCTAGGGAACGTCAAAATCTCCTCTAGGCCTAGTCCATTTTCTAAGTTATTTAAATGAAAAATGCATGGAACCATGATTGGCTTAGTTGATGTTTACTCAGTGATTCTGAACAATGTTTAAACTTAGGCCCCGTCCCAGCTGGGCGACAAGAGCGACGTGACCGACGTGACAGATACAAACACATGGTAAGTAATGGGAGTGTCCTAGCTGAGCAGCAACAGCGACGTCGCTCCTGTCGGTCGCGCTACAAGCGCTTCAAGATACAAACATGTTTGTATTTTGTAGCGCTAAGTTACACCAACGACACGACAAAGCGGCATCCACACAGCTGCCTCAGTCCATGTCGCGTCGCCTTTTCCCGCCGCTCAGTGCGGACACACATTTTGTCGCCGACAGCAGCGACCAATGGTCGCGTCAGTCGCGTCGCTCTTGTCATCCAGCTAGGACGAGGCCTTAAATTAGGCTAAGATTTACCTTAAGTTAAGTCAAATTGAAACCCAAACATAAGTTACTGTCATTTAGCTATAAAATTGAAATAGGCCTAAGTTAAGTAGCTTTTTATTTGGGAATTTAAAGTAATTATGTACCTACTTCATAAGTTTACGGTGATCACATTTGCTAAAAACAGGATGAGATGTAAAACTGACATATGCCTAAGATAACTTAAAGGGGTTACCCAGCTTTGGATGGTAGGCCTAATCAATAGGGAAACAAGAATAAAAATCTAGCCTATTGTAAACACTAGGAGACTCATGCCTTACAAATTTGACAAAAGGCTAGCCCTATTGATAAGTAAACCAATAGGCTTAGCCTAGTATTGGGTATATTACTGGATTATTCTACATTAGGTTATCAGCCTATAAGTTATTGAAAAATGGAAATTTATTCAATAACAAGGAAGATGAGACAGACCTTATCAATGTTAGGGCTAAGAGAAAACAAACAAATGTCCATAGAATGTTAATACTAACTTGCCACTGTATCTGAACGAATTGTAGGCTAGCCCGTTTCCTGGTTATGAAAATTTGTCAACTAGGCCTAGTTTAACTTGCCGATATCGAAAGTTCGAAAGACAACCAACACTAACTGAATTTATAGGCTACTGATAAATTATTATGACAAATCTATCAAATTCCGAACATAAGTAAAATTCACTCAATACACTTTAAAAGAAACCTAGGTAGCGAACGTTAATGGCACTATTGAATTCTATCTGTATAACAGCAGAAACAGCACGAAATAACATAAATTATAAATTCCACCAACCAATACTTTCAAATTTCAAGAGAAGCAATAGCAAATCGAAATCATAATCATATCACGTTAAGAGAAAAAAAGAAGAAGGCAACGCGTCAATATCCTTTGAGTTTGGAGATATAACGGAAAGCGGAAATTACCGTGCCACTGATTTAATCAAAGAAGCCACCGTTGAATATTTGTAATATTGTTTTAGTTTTACGTAATGAAAAGCAAAAGTAAATACTCGTTTAATAGAGCCTTGTAACTATTGAATAAGAAAAAGAATATTTATTTTCCTTTTGACAAATAAGTAAGCAAAATTAAAGTTGTCTAATATAAAGTAGTTTATTCAGCAAAATTAACATAAAATGCATTAGTTACACAACAAAATAAAATACTGTAATTACATAAAAAAATCTCTTATATAAATTAAAACTGTCAACTGTTCTAGGGTCCGGATGGTTGTCGGTAGCGTGTTGAATAATTGTATAGCTAGAGATGGGATTATTCAACACGCTACACTATTTTTTGTAATGGGTTGATTTTCATGAGATGACAATGCATGACATAGCTTGTTGTGAAAAATTAAAGAGCCATATTTACATCTTTGAACCTTAATGTCATATACTGGGGGGATTACTTTACATGAATGTATGTTAACAAATGGTAACCAGTCATACGTTGTTACATTCGCTGCCATTCTGTTTTAAGAGGTCTCAAAATCAGAGACTCTCTGATTTTGTTCGTCTTTTCATTCCAGTCCAGCTGTTTTTCTGTCATTCCTCAATTTCAGACGTTTCGTTTACGCCAGGAGGAGAGGAGGAGTCAGAGCAGAAGATAGCAGACAGTGTTTGTGCTTGTTATGTTCACTAAAATTTCAATCTTAATAACATTGATTTATGTGTCAAGATTGTTACATAGTTACCTCATTCTGTCGTGATATCTAACTGCATACTCACTGAATCTTATAATTCAAAAGTTGTATGTTTTAAATGAACGTTTGGTCTTTGTGTAAATCAGTTTCATATCATGCTATTGGTAGGTACCCCATTGACCTAACTCCAAAAATCTGGAATCACATTGGAGAGTTTCTTGTAAGTAAAATAAAAAATACGTTTTTTAACGTTATTTTTTTCATCTATAGTAGCTTTGATGTGGATTTCTTAGATTGACTCTTTGTCTTGACAACTTTTCCCTATGAAAAGTAATAATACCCTATGAAAAGACTAATACCTAGTCAGTAGGCTATTAAAAACTTAGATCTAGGTAGGCCTAGGCGTTTTCCCTACAAAGTCTTAGGATTTCTTTAAGGCTTGTTATTTTTTATAGAGTAGGTGACTTGCTGAATATTGCATCCCTCTTTTAGCGAATTTCCCATATAGGGAATAAGCTATTACCGTAGTAGGCCTACTCATGGCTAGACCTGGACACGGGACCGTTTTTTTTAGTTTTGAGGTCCCTAGAGGCCAAAAACACCATCCGTTCAAATCCATATATTTCCTATATGAGTTATATGTATCCGTTAGCACGATAACTCGAGCAAAAATTATCCGATTTTGATGAAATTTGGTATAAACGTGTAAACCTACATGTATTAGAATGAGTTCGCGAACCAGCATGATTGGACTATGGGAACTTTTATGGGGTAAAAATAGGTTTTTCCCATTTTTTACCCCAAAACATAAAATTTAGCAAATTCTTTACAAACCATTTTGTAGGCTAGAGGTTAAAAAAACAAATAATTTAGTATATTGAAGCGTTATAATGCGCCTAATGGTTACGGAGAAAATTCCAAAAAAAATTTAAATTTAAAATTCCCATGTTAACTTATTCTTATGGAGAACTAGCTGTACCCGCGGGCTTTGCCCCGTTTAACTTCATAAGTATTCGCATGGCTCATTCACGTCCTGATTGAAGTTCGTTCGCTGCGCTCACTTGCTTTCAGGCTAGCTCGTACGCTACGCTAACTTGCCTCCAGGTTGAAGTTCGTTCGCTACGCTCACTCACCTTTTGGTTGGAAATTAGCTGTTGTCATAAATTAATAAACAAAAAATAATGGTGCTGCACCCTGTTGGTAATCCTTGTAACTTTTATGCTATTAAACATCATAGAACAGAACCAACTTGTTTAATTGAAACAGCTGTTAAGATGCATTAATTCCTTTTAAATATGAAAAATCATAAGGTTAACATGGGGAACTACAGAGCCACTGGGGCGGAACCCGAAAGGATTTTTGAGATAAGAATATGCTTTATTGTTAATCGGGAATGTGAGCTATCATCATGCCAAATTTCAGCCCAATCCGTCCAGTAGTTTATGCGTGATTGAGCAACACACACATAAAAACACACAAAAACACACACACAAACTCACAAACTTTCAGATTAAATAATATTAGTACGACAAGTAAACTGTTGTAGTTTGCTTGTTTATGAACATATTTTGATCAAATTTGGAAAATGTTTTTATTTCTTAACATAAAAAAAAAAGTTTTACCCTTCCTGATGCAACAAACCAAAGTAGCCTGTTAAACTAATTCTATTTACTAAATAAGAAATAAATGTTATATTTTTTAGTAGCCTAGACATTTTAGTGTAAATCCAAGCAAATGGAATTTCGCTTAGTCTGCAGGTTTGCTGAGGCGGGGGTATTTTGCTAAACACAGAGGATACACGTCCGGTAACCGGACTGGATTAGGCGTCCGGCAGTTACTGTCATAATCTAACGTAACCAACCAATAACGAAGCCTATTGTATTTATTGTAAATATTTAACGGCAAATAAATCTTTGAATCTTTGAATATTGCTGATAACGAAAAAACCGAATGAAGGTTAAATTTTGTTCATAAAATTAAATTATAAACGCCCAAGATTCTAACAAAAGATGTAGGTAGGCCTACAGTTAAGAAGAAAAATAGCATTCAAAGCAAAATCTTTGACATAAATTATTCAAGTTACCGATGGGATTCCAACCAGGGACCTCTTGAATATCAGCCGAGCACTCTACCCACTACACCACAAACACCAATGGCTGTACATCGTATCATTGTAGTAATGGCGTTCCGGGCCCCCACGACCTGGTGACGTCACTGCCGGATGCCTAATCCACATCCGGTTACCGGACGCATATCCTCTGTGTTTGCTTAAACAAGAATTGCACTTTAAAGTTGAAACCAATTCAAATAGGCCTAGCACCTTATGAAACTGCCTGGGATCACTACAATAATATCAATACCTAAAATATATACCTAACTTAAAAAGAGCATTAAGGCGGTTGGCCCAGGCCTAAGTTAGGCCTAGGCCTATATAGATTTTTTTATACTTACATCGATGATTACCAATATTGGTACCTAACTTAATTATTGGTTGTGTTATTGATCAGAAGTAAAATAAGTTTAGTGTGTACCGGTACAATAATAATACTGTTGATTTTCTCATAACCACACAGTTATAATCTCCAATCTTTATCGAGCAGTCCAAAGGCGCTTCAGAAGATTTGTTCAAGGGACAAACCAGTAGGCCTATTTTGTCAAGAGGCCACTTTCCTTAAACAGTTAAAATTTTAAGAGCTTTATCATAAATTTTCTAGATCGTCATCATCTCAGTTGATCAAAAACACTTATTTCATTTTCACAATATACGGTTAAATGGGGTACAGAAAAGGTTAAGTTACCACTGGATTCTTGAAATTACCCTCGCCGCAGCAAACCTGCATTCTAAGCGAATTTCCATTTGCCTGATTGGATTTACACTAAAATGTCTACTTAAAAATATAAAATTTATTTCCTATTTAAATAGAATTAGTTTAACAAAACTTAGGTTTGCTGCATCAGGGAGGGTAAAACTGTTTTTTTTTTTTTTGTAAAATGTTAATAGTAAGAAATAAAAACATTTTCCAAATTTGATCAAAATATGTTCATAAACAAGCAAACTACAACAGTTTACTTGTTCTCCAAAAGAATAACATAGGAATTTTAAATTTAAATTTTTTTGGAATTTTCTCCGTAACCATTAGGTGCATAATAACGCTTCAATATACCGTACTAAATTATTTGTTTTTTTTAAGCTCTACAAAATGAAAAGTAATTGCTAAATTTTATGTTTTTTGGGTAAAAAATGGGAAAACCTATTCTTACCCCATAAAACCCCCCGTAAACCCCCGTTCCCATAGTCCGATCATGCTGGTTAGCGAACTCATTCGAATAAATGTAGGTTTAAACGTTTATACCAAATTTCATCAAAATCGGACTATTTTTGCTCGAGTTATCGTGCTAACGGACACACACACACACATATATATATACATATATATATATAAACACATATATTTTGTAAATCGTGTATCCGTTGATATGAATAAATAAATAAATATATATATATATATATATGAATTTGAACGGATGGTGTTTTTGGGCTATAGGGACAGTCTCAAAACGAAAAAAAATCAGTCCTGCGTCCAGGTCTTGCCATGAGTACTACGGTAATAGCTTATTCTCTATATGGGAAATTCGTTAAAAAAGAGTTTGGGCTATAATAGAAAGTCACAACTGGGTTTGCATATCAATTTTAAAAGTAAAAACAACGGCAACACTAGAACATCAGTAACCAGGACCGGTAACGAATATTAAACTAGAAGGTTCGCTTCCATGATCTAGTTGACTATTGAATCTAAATCATCACTCGAAGACCTAGATTTAACGATGAATAATTTTGCTAAAAAAGTCAATGCTAAGATCTTGTTTGCATTACGAGTTAGGCCTATATAGCTTATCGGGGATTACTAACTTATATAGGGATGCAGGTAGCCTATTGTAGACCAATTGAAATAATTCAATTGATATTTATCAAACTAATATTTTATGTGATAATTAATTGTAGGTTCTCTCAGGAACTGTGCCCCATAGATAGCCTACCTAGTCTAGGGACGTTTTTGGAGCACTTTGCATCGGTCTCATGACCATAATGAGTTTGCATTATTTGTTGTTAGAGTATCCGGGATTTTTAACCCCAGCTTTTTCTCTGCATTTGGCACTACTAAAGATCTGTTACCAACTGTCATTTATAGCTTGTAGAACGATGTCAATAAACACTGGAATGTAGAAGGCCTGATTGTACATTCCAAACGGTGACTCTTCTATTGAATGGAACAGAATCCAAACATTTTCTTGTACTCAAGATAAGTTATTGGTTCCCGCTCCTGGGTGCAACCTGGTGATTGATGTGTCCCTAAACCATCGCTACAGTTTCCCAGTCAACTTTTCTCCTTAAACGTTAGATGGGTTGTGTCAGAATTCAGAAGTCAGAATAGATTCTTGATGTACGGTACTGGTAATTCTTGAATACAGATTTGGTATTATAGTAAAACAGTGTGTGATCTAGGGCCCGCTTGTATATCTACATTTGTAGTCTATAAACATAGGTAGGCTAAAACGGTAGAAAAGAGAGAATGGCTTTGTAAGTTATAGTGTAAATTAATTGGTTAACATGTAGGCCAACTTTCAATAGCCTAAACTTAATTTTCAGGTCCTCAATTAAATTAAATACAAACCTTTACTTCCTTTTTACAAGTTCACATGCATGGAATCGTCAACAATACATTACTCATTGGTAATAATTTGATAATTTTTAAGATAGGCCTATGTTGTAAGCTTTTATTAGACTACTAGTAGAGTGTCCGTCCTTTGTACGAGGTTGGTGTAAAAGTACAAAATGTTTATTGCAGTTTATACTACTAGTGCTTTGCGTTTGCATTGGGAAAGGACACGGTTTCGTTCATTTAACATACGGTGTATGTTATTGTAGGCCTATCTATAGTAGCCATCTACCGTAGCCATGAATAATTATTGTTCTACCACTGCACCTAACAATAGAAAAAAAGTAAAGTTCTCATAGTGTATCACAGATTTTTTTGCTGCTTTGTTAAAATTAGGTGTTGTCATAAATGCAAACAAAATAATAGTGCTGCACCCTTTTGGCTAACATTATAAGTTTTTAATACTATTGAATATCTTAGAACCAACTTGTGCAGTTGAAACAGCTGGCAAAATTCTTTAATTTTAAATATGAATACTCATGAGGTTAACATGGGAAACTCC